CGGGATCGCTCCGGGGTGCCAAAATGGGAACAGCCCGAAATACGCGCTATTGCCAAGTATGCAAGCTTAGCGGGTGCGCAGGTTAAGCACGTTACCGGCCCCTGGAAAACTACGCTGGATAAGATGACTGGCAAGCGGCCTCATAATGGCATGGTCTTGGAGGCATCCCCACTTCCGAAGCCTCCAGTACTGAGCTTCCAAACGGTCGTTTCCAAATCCAACTCGCATTTCCTGGCTCAATTGGCCGCTCAGCCTGAAGAGCAAGCGGCCGTGAATGGCACGGACGGCCACATTCAATTCGATGCTAGAAGGAAAGACAGCAAAGCGTCCCGGTTCCCCTTCACTTTACTACTCGATGGGATACTTGACCCAGGAAACCTTGGAGCCATCTTTCGAAGTGCCTACTGGTTTGGTGCAGATGCAATTGCTTTTTCGTCGCAGAATTCAGCACCCATATCTCCTGTCGTTATGAAAGCTGCTGCTGGTGCAACTGAAGCCATTCCTATTCTCTCAGTTCGTGATGTTAGCACTTTCATGACAGCATCTCAAGCAAATGGTTGGAAATTTTTTGCAGCAGATGCCCCTGATGCAACGCTGGTTAATGACTATACCCGAAAAATCCCCGTCATCAATAGCCTGGAAGCTCTAGCTTCTGAGCTCACAAAGGCACCATGTGTGTTGATGCTAGGGGGTGAAGGCTCAGGCCTGCAGCAGAAGATTAAGAATAGGGCTGATTCATTTGTTACTATCCCCGGAGCTTATTCGGCTAACATTCGCGACGATACTGCTGGTGTTTCCAGTTTGAACGTCAGCGTGGCGTCTGCATTACTATGCGAGGCTTTTCTCTCTCGCAGACCACCTTCCAGTAGTGCTGAAACACAAGATTCACTAGATACCCCTGCTGGAAACACGAACCGTGTCTTCTAGGTCCTTGGGCTTCCCTCTGGTATTTGTGTTGATATCCCGGTCATCTTATTCAGCTATTGTATTATTATCCCTATATGTTTTCGGCGTTTATGGCCTTATACATACTGTACTATAAAGCGGAGGAGCATTTTGGAGTCTTGTATATTGACATTGGGCTTAGAGAGCGGATTCCATTACCCACCCAAGCGACTTATTTTCGGCCATTGCACACATCCTTGCCAGAAGGTTCAAATTATCAATAAGACACATGTTGAAACTCAAAAAGGATCTAAATGTACGTTACAAAATTGGAAGTATATTTTATTACGGTAGAGGAACCGCGAGGTTGTTGTAAAGTAGAACCACTCTTGTCGTGAAGTCAACCCTTGGCCTCCAAAGCGCCGTATATACCTCTCTTCTCCCAAACCGTACGCCAGATAAACAGTAGAATTATCATACATGCACCTAATATTTAGAACGAAAAAGAAACTGGGACCCCTTTAAAAGTTCTACCGCTTCTTTGATTTGCTCTTGGTTGGGCCAGACGATGAGACGCTGCCGGCTCTAGAAGTATTTGTTGATGTCGCTTTGCTATTTGACTGAACAGCTTTAAGTTTTTTATTCTATTATCTTGTTAGTTTTCCTCTGTCTTAAGGGTACAATTAAAGACCGTTTATAACTTACCACTGCAGGAGCAGCTCCCTTTGATTTCTTCTTTGCTGGGCCAGTATCATCACCGTTTTCAGTCTCTTCATCCCGTGTGCGTGCTTTGGCTTTGTTGTCTCCATTCGTTTCTTTAGTATCACCTTCAAACTCTTTAGCGATTGTGTTCAGGAGGGTGGTACATCTTCGACCAATTTCAACAGGGGTACGGGATAGGAAGAACCAGTCGAATCGGAACAGTGGGCTTTCCCGGATTTCGTCGCGGATTTTCTCATATAGACCTTCTCCATCAACACCGTGCCTGTCAAGCATAACAAGTAAAAAGCGATCCTCTTCTTCTGTGTATACTTTCTTGTTGGTAGTTGAGACGGTATAGTTGATCTTCAGCTGTTGGAGAGGAACACGGTATTGTCCCATTTTCTTGCGGAGGAGCTTGCGTTGTTGATTCATTCTCCTCATCTTTTCTTCGCCCTGTTCAATAATGCGGATATATTTCGGATAATCGAGAATCTCGGTGTATCTCTTCCAGAACACTTTAGCATATTCTTTAATCTCTTCAGGGGTTTTGCTGTCCACTTCGGTGGCCATGTCTTCATAATTGGTACGTCCAAACTTGGCCGAACCATTAATGAATTGCTGGAAGTCTCGTCGGTTCCAGTTATAGAACCCTTCTGCGGATAATTTGGCCTTTTCCTCTTGCTCTTCCGCGGTTAGAGGTACAGCATTATCGATCTCTTGCTGTTCAAGTTCACGTTCCGCTTCCCTATCACTAACTGACTCTTCAGGACCTTCAGGCAAAGCAGCTTTATAACCAATCTCCTTGTGGAAGTATGCAGTCTCTTTGTCTTGCAATTCTTGAAGTTTAGGGGGGAAGAATTGCCAGTCATGAATAGTAGTCTGTTTTGGCGCCTTAGGTACTTTAGGCTTAGGTTCAGAAGGCTTTGTGAAAGTCTGCTTGTAGAAGCTGCCAATTGTATATGACTGGTCTTTGCGCTCACGTTTTGCAGGGTTGATCCAATTCAAACCGATGTCTTTCTTGCGGTTAGTGAAGTCCTTTCCATTCCATTCATAGGCATTTTCTGAAGAGAACTTCTGAAGGTCATCAATTCCGAGCTTTTCATATTTGTTTTTGAGCTCAGCAGTACGTTCTTCACCTTTCTTTAGGATGGCCTCAATGTCGTCTTCGGAAATATCCTTGCCACTGCCGAAGGTGCCTCCAGTAGAGCTAAACACATCGGAAGCACCGTGCTGAATCATGCTTAAGAGTTCATCCTTGGAGGCCGCATTCTTAGCTTGTTGCTGAGCGCGACCCTGTTGAATGACGAGCTGGTCCAATCGAAGCTTTTGAGCTGCTCGTTCTAGAACCTTTTCTTCGATGGCCTTCTCCGTGATAAATCTAAACACAACGACCTGCTTAGTCTGGCCGATACGATGAGCTCGGTCCATAGCCTGAAGATCGGCCTGAGGATTCCAGTCACTGTCAAACAGAATGACGATATCGGCTGTAGTCAAGTTAATACCCAGTCCACCAGCGCGCGTGGTCAGAAGAAATACAAATTTCTCAGAGCCTGGGCGGTTGTACTCGTCAATTGCCTGGATACGGTCCTCATGGGCAGTTGAGCCATCGATTCTGCAGTATTCGTGACCCCTGAAAACGCAGTAGTCCTCTAGAATGTCGAGAACACGACTCATTTGTGAAAAGATCAACACTCTGCTGCCTTGCTTAAACAAACGATTGAGCAACTTGTCTAGAATGACCATTTTTCCTGAATTGTCGATAAGATGCTCGTCGGTGGTATAAGGAGGGCCCGGCTCTGCTCCTTCGAACAGATAAGGGTGGTTGCAGCACTTGCGGAGCTGCATGACAATGTTTAGAAGTCTAGTCTTGGATTCCCTGTTACCCTGGGCGCCATTGACTGCATCGATATCCTTTTCAAGAATCTTCTGGTACCATTTGACTTGCATCTCTGACATGCCGACATAAAGATTGAGTTCTTTCTTTGGGAGCAGGCTCTTCTCCACATCGCTTTTCACTCGGCGCAGCAAAAACGGTCGAAGTACTCTGTGTAGCTGCTGAACGACTGTGTCCTGGTCTGCCTCTTGGTTAGAGAACCATTGATCAAAGGCCTCAGAGTCACCGAATACATCAGGGAGCAAAAAGTTTAGCAATGCCCATAGTTCGTGAAGGTTGTTTTGCAGCGGGGTTCCCGTGATCAAGAGTCGGTTTCTGGACTTGAACACACGAATAATCTGTGAGAGGGATGACTCTTCATTCTTAATTCGATGCGCCTCGTCGATAATAATATACTCCCAGGCGAATTTCTTCAAATGCGACTTTTCCCTAAGGATCATCTCGTAACTGGTGATGCACACATCGAATTTCTCATCGACGAGGCGCTCGTTAATGAGTTGGTGGCGTTCATCCTTGGCTCCTTGCAAAACCAAGACGTTGACGTCGGGTGTCCATTTACCAAACTCCCTTTTCCAATTATCCAAAGTTGACTTCGGAACAGCCACGAGATGAGGGCCTGTGATTCCGCAAATATGTCGAAGATATCCCAAAAAGGAAATGGTCTGAAGAGTCTTTCCAAGACCCATCTCGTCGGCTAGTATGCCTGAGATACCATTCTCGTGTAGCGAAACCAGCCAGTTCAGGCCAGCAATCTGGTAATCACGCATTTCACCTCCCTGAATGAATGAAGGCGATTGCTGGAAGACGGTTTCAGTCTTTCCTCCTCGTTTCTCATCCTTCAGAAGCTCCGCGTCCTCTTCTTGTTCTGTCCTTCGTCGGCGTTCTCCTGCCGCACCACCTTTTCTAGTAGCTCCTTTTCTCGAGCCTGACTTGGCTTCATTCTGGCGATCGATCTCGGCCATGATCTCCTTGATCCGGGGGTTAGGATTAGTGTCAATAAAATGGCGGAACAAGTCGGTTAACCCGAGGAGGTAACGGAATCGTCGAATTGAATCATCTTCCTGTATAGAGTGAGAAATAAGTATCAATACCAGTATGCGATAATGTGGTATGGACATGAACGACATACCATTGACTCGTCAAGACGTCCGTGTTTTTTACCAAGAACGCTTTTGCGTAGCTGGAAGGCCTCTGTCCTTCGTTTCCTGCCATCTGGAGCAGTATCGCCAGCAACACTACTTGCGGTGGTATTTGGGTTCGTATCGGAATCCTACGACCCTCAGCACTGAAACGCAGCATTGTGCAGTGATAGACAGTGGCTTACCGTGTAGTCAGGTGTATCTTGATACTCCTAAAGCAGAAGAAGAGTGTAAAGTGTTAGCCTGATATCTGCATCCCATCTTCCGTAACGGTGGCATTCTCCCCACGTCAGCAACCGCTCAACGCGTCCTGCAAGCGTACCTTCATATCTTGGTCGTCCCGAGCATCATCGGAAGGCTGATAGTCAGCAACATCCACCATCGTGACGTCTTCATCGCCCGTCGAGGGGAGTTCTTGCACCGGAGCCATGTCCAGGCAGCGGCTCACCGGGAGTCAATATATAGATTTATAGCAGAGGAACGCGCTCTAAGACTCGTTAAAACGGCGAGAGAGAGGTAAGTAATAGATCTAGTAGCGAGTAGGTAAGCAGGAAGAAACGCAGGTATCTGGAGCGCGACTGCTCATGGCCTGGCCGTCCGGGTATGTGCCTGTTCCTGCGTATGTGTGAGGGAGGAGAAGAAGCTGGATGGCGAACGCTGAGAAGGTGAAAACCCTCGAAACGAACAAAACCGCGAGACTTTTTTCTTTTTTCGGCAGGACAGAAAAAAGAAGAGGCTCAAGACGCGCTGATTGGTCGGTATAGATGAGTAAGCAGATAAACCGGGAGGATGAGTAAGCCGGAAGGAGAAATATTTTGCCGAGGGAGAAAAGAAAATCCGAAAGCCTAAAAAGATGGACGCCGAAAAGTGAAAAAAAAAAGTAATAATAATAAATAATAAAAATAAAAAAAGGAAAAGAAGAAGAAGAAGAAGAAGAATGTAGAGTATTTATATTACAAGGACGAAATGCACACAGTTAAGATGCAGCTGGGCAAAGTGCCTGGCATTGATGTGACTGGAGTGCAGTGACTGTTCAGACTCAGTGACTGCCCAGGTGCTTAACAAGGTCTTTGACCCTACCTAAGCTACCTATAATCACGAGAACACCAGGACAACTCCCAAGGTAGAACCAAGTAATCAACTGCATGGCTGTGTGAGCATACAAAGAGAAACACTCTGGCTCTCACTCTCCTAAGAGCAGTAAAGCATCACTCTCACTTCTACTGCTGTCCTTCCGTCTAGGCAGCCCGTAGAAGGAGGCCGGGAGAAAGGAATCTCCGCGTCTCCGCCAGCCCGTCAAATGCCGTCGCAGCCCAAAATAGTCATCTCTTGTGTCTCTTCGCCTGTTTCTCCACTACTAAAGCAACTTCAACCTCAACCTCTGGCCTCGTTGAACTCCAGCGTCACCCCGACCTACATTCGCCCGGCCACTACACGCCGTACGCTCCCTATCTCGACCGGCTGCTGCTTGACTCACTCGTCTTCTGCTAGCTTTGGCCGCTCGATTCGTGGTGGCCTGTCCAGAAAACCGAATCCCCCCACTTCGCCAGACACAAATCTGAGTGCTGGTGTAGCCAGAAAAAAAAAAACTATTCTGCTATAACGATCACGGGCCCCGATAACTCTCAGTTCGCAGTTGTTGAACCATCTGTAGGGGATACGCGGGGGTTCGTGTGCCTACCTCGTCAAGGATCGTCCAGCTTCGCAGCCATGGATTCGATGCGGTCACTTAATAAATCACTTCCGTCTACAACGGCAGCACAACCTCCGGAACTGCTCCTGCAAGCATTTAAGACCGCTGCTTTATCAGTTACCAACCTTTACAAGAATGCGGTATCAGATCAGGCTCAGTCACGGCAACTTGGATACCAGGATGCTCTCGAAGACCTCCGGGCTTTCTTGGACAAGGAGAAAATAGGTTTTACAGATGGCGAAGGACAGAAGATCAGAAACTGGGTCATGGAAAAGATCGATATGGCTGGAACAGCTTCAAACGACAGTGATGATGATAAGACCGATGCCGACAAGACCAACCGAGCAGCCTCACCGGCTGCCGTCCGTAAATCGAATCCTGATACCACCGCCTCGAAACCACAACCTGAAGCTGCTGCTCCGTCAAGACAGCCCTCCGAAACTCCACCACCACTGATGCCCATACCTTCCGAGCCTATTGCTATAGTACCTCCCCGGACGGCGGCCTTCACTTTCACCGCGGGCCAGAGTCTGCCCATGCAAGAGGATATCGACATGAAAGCCGGCATGGATAGCTCTCCTTCATTATCAAGCGACCCACAGATCACCACCTCACATCCCTCTCATCCCCCAGTCAGGCTAGAAGTGCACTCCTGTCCACCTCGAACACCACACCGCCACGGCAATGGGAACCGTCATAACCCTCGCACCATCAACCGGGACCCCACGCCCGGTGCCGGATCGAAACGAAAATTCCACTTTGGCGAGTTTTTCGATATCTCGAACCTAGGAAACGGCCGAGACCCATTTGGTGGACCGAAACGAGGCCGCTTCCTATAGTCTATATACTCTTTCCTTAATCCCCCTCATTCTAACGGGTTATAGAATGGATATGCAGAGCTCTACGATGCATTAACGTGGAGGCGTTTTGGACTTTTATTTTCGCCCTTGTTCTTATACGGCATTTTCTATATTTCTCATCATATGCATGTAGATAGGTAGCATCATTGAAAATCAGAGATACCCAATAAAGCCTCGAGTTAGCCTGCTCGTAATTTCGTCTCTAACACAGTATGGCACACAGTCTATAATGTCACGCATTTCTCTTGAGAATGGGCGTATAATAAAAATATCGTACAGTCCACTAAATTCTCCTAATTGATATTCAGTTGAAAGCTCTCCATATACCCAATCCCACTAGTGAAGTTGATATCATAATAACCCCTAGCCTTCTCGATCCCATCCTGTACTTTGAGCCGCTTGCTAAGATCTTCTGTTCTTGCTCACGTAGGTTCTTCATTCCGGTGTAATAGCTCCAACCTCCAAGTCCCGCAAGTGCCAGACTCCCTATACAACCAAGCCAGCCAGACAGTTAGCTATAAACTACCGGTGTATATCCATAGACACGGAAAGTCCATACCAGTAGCTCTGCACGCCAGACAGTCATCATATTTATCCTGTGCAATCGTTTTTTCAATATCTTTGGGGTTGATTTCCCAAGGCGCATCGGACTGCCTTGCCATATTAATCGGTGGTGGCTGTAATGGCAGATTAGGTCAAAAAAAAGATAGCGTCTAACCATTGAAAATTAGCAACTATGTGCATAAACCAGGGTATAGGGACCTACCGAAGGGATGTTGTCCTTTGATGCAGCTCCTGTTGAGTGTTGTACTTGTAAAAATCATGAAAACCCAAAAACTCCGATGAGGTCACGCACTGCTCTGACTGGGATAACTAAACCTCATGTATCTCAACCACATCTATATCCTCCCACACTCCACGGCAGATGCGTTCGCAATGATGAGCGCTGTTATAGAAGCTCTTTATATTTATGATGAGACAAAGTGAGCTATTTGGCTGTCACTCCCAGCAAATAGATATATACTGACACTGAGAAATAGCACACCAATACTCGAACATACCTATTGTTCGCGCCCTCCCCCCGCGACGGCAATACGCTCTCACTTTCTAGCCCATCCGGCTCCTCGACCGTCCCTAGTATACCTTCCCGATACCTCTCCTCCCGTCTCAGTCTTCTCGGTTTCGCATTCAAATCTCCTATTCCTGGTTTCGTGCAGCACCGAGGCAGAACCGCTTCTCGTCCTCGAATTTATCCACCGAGTAATAGATGTGCTAGAGGAATTTATCGGCGCCCCTTTGCTCGGAACGAAGATACAGAATAGCTATGATGTTGTTGGACAGTTGCTGAATGAAATGTGCGATGCTGGCGTCGTATCTAATACTGAACCGAACGCTCTACGGGAGGCGGTTGACGTTCCTGGGTGGATGGGCAAGCTCCTAAGCGGAGTGGGATTGCCTGGGTGAATATTGACCACAATATCTCTCCGCGCCTGTATGAAATTCATGTTTGCTAACGATGTATATGCGGTGGGACAGTGCGTCGCAGGCTTCCGCTCTTGCAAAGCCTCTAAGCCAACCCCTTGCTACTGCGCCCACAGTAGCCGGAGCAAATGCGCCAGCCATACCTTGGAGACGTTCTGGTGTACGACATACCTCAAATGAGCTGTATGTTGACATAGTCGAGTCTCTATCGGTTATATTTGCCCCCTCTGGCAGGCCAATATCAGCACTGGTACATGGTACAATAGTATTCACGGCGAAGATATCGGGAGTGCCGGATTTGCTTCTTTCCCTAAGTGCTCCTGGGGGTCAAAGAAGTCTTGCGCATAAGATTGAATTACCTGTGTTTCATCCTTGCGTCCGTCTGGCGCGTTGGAGAGAAAAGCCAGGCGCACTAAGCTTCGTGCCCCCTGATGGACGCTTTATATTAGGGGGATACGAAGTCAACCTGCTCCCTGTTAATCCTGAGGAGGACAATCCGTCTGCTCATATGGAAAGATTATTTCTTCCGGCTACAGTGGATATAAAAAAAGGCCTTGGTCCTACGGGTTCAAATTTTGAAGTGCGACTAACATTGAATAACAGTTTTCCTGGGGCTTCCTCAAGGAGTGGAGGAGGCGGAACTGGTATAGGTAGGAATGGGGGAATGGGGAACTCGATGGGCCGTGGATCTGGAACTTCGACCCCTTCTTTCTTAACTATCGGCGGTAGCTCGTCGTCTCCGAGCCTAGATGATGTAGTGGTGACAGTTTCCATACCACCATCGGTGCGGAACATTACCGATATCCAGGCGAGTCGGGGAGAAGCCACCTTCATGCCAGGAAACGAATCTCTAGAATGGCGCGTGCCTACCAGAGAGAAAGACGGATCAATCTCTGGCATAGCTACGCTAAAAGGAACCATACTCGGGCCCCTTCATGAGCTTGATGATGATGACGACATAGTTGATGGAGATGGTACAGATCGTACTCGACGATTAACTTCGAACCCTCTCAGAGGGTATTATGACGAGACCTTAACTGGGGGCGCAAGCTATCAAGCTTCAGGGGCAACGACAGATGATACTCCCCAACCGGAGAAGACGGAAGGTCTATCACCAACAGTCAAACAAATGCGGAAAAAGCAGGCCAATGCCTTATTAATGCCCTCATCAGCCTCAGTATCATTTTCTGTACGCGGCTGGCTACCAAGTGGTATACGTGTTGACTCTTTGACTGTTGACTCTCGAAGAAGTCGTGGTTTAGGTGAAGGAGTTAAGCCCTACAAGGGAGTCAAATATATCTGCGTGAGCAGGCAAGGGATTGAGACTAGGTGTTGAACTAGTTGTCATCTACAAATTCAGCAATGCATAGCCTCAATTTGGTCCAAGTTCTATTTTTCAAAGCAAGGCAATGTCAAAGTAAAAAAATAATCATAATTTAACTAGCTATAGATCTGCAGCTCTGCGGTACCATTTTTCTCGACTCCTCCTGCAAGGTTTTGTTGACTTGGGAGCGTAGCGAGCAGAGCCTGCCCAGCGTGGACCGCCAATGGGACCTTAATATGAAGGTCATGTTTGACACACAGTCACTATAATTATTCACTCTCAGTGGGACACCTTGGGCCCTCCGGCTGTTCCACTAGGGGATTACCTTACCGCTATCAAGATCTTGTTAACAGGGCTAGCCCAAGATTGGATGGTAGACGGCCTAGGAGGCGCGGCACTTAAACTCCTAGTTGACCCTCTATAATAGTATGTTGCAAATCGAAATACCGCCACACATTATACACCGGAAATATTCGCACGTTTATTAGTAAAGTCTGGTATGGAAGAGTTAAGAGCGAAGTGGAATGACCTCTCCACCCTCGTATATAATAAAACTATTTTTTTATTATAGCTATTATTGTTAATAAGAACGTATATATGCCAAAAATTGCAACCCAATTTTAAAATAGTAAAAAACGCGTATTAGAAGAAGAGTATGCATGTCTAGAGCTTTGGGCCACGGTTGGTGTAGTGGTATATAGCGATTGCAACTGTTAATATTTGTTAGCATATCAACCATCATAACTAAGCATCGATGCGAGACTGAAATATTAGGAATAGGCTTAAAGGGAGTAGAAAATATTGCAACAGAATATCGCTTATATATATAACCCAAGGAGAATCATAAAATATGTATATAAAAGGGGTATCAAGCGCTGTAGAACAAGCATGGCCTCGTACACATGGTATCACGAAGATTTCGTGTCTGCAGAGGCGATAAAATGAGATCGAGACCAGACCAGATGACACAAGGATCTTAATAGTACAGCAAGCAGAGAAAAGGAAAGAAGTTATTCGGGAAAATATGTTGATAAAAGATTTACTTACCCAACGCTGCGGCAGTGGCCCTTGCGGCGCCCGACCTGTTTGGCCCCTTTCCAAAGGTAATAAACCAGGTAATCCACTCGAGCAATCCATAAGTTCGTTCCCCAGCGCGGTTGAAGTTAGGAGACTTGAGACTGGCGGCTTTGTATTTACCGAGTTTACCGATATAAGGCGGGTAACGGATAGAGAGGATACGCTCGACCCAGCCAGGAGTTGATGTAATGGAGCGTTGGTGTGTAAAGGCATCGAAACTGCTACGGCCATGGTAGCAACCGGTTCCACTCTCTCCAACACCGCCAAACGGGAGGTTTGCAACAGAAACATGCATGTATGAGTCGTTCACAGAAGCACCGCCTGAACGAACTGAAGAGAGGACTATAAAGATGTAAGCATGTGCACAGCAACACATCATAATGAAGGGAGGCGAAAATAATACCTTTTGCGGTCTCCTCTTTGGATCCAAATGGATAAAGGGCCAATGGAGTTCCATCAACGTCATTTGCAATTCTAATCGCCTCGTCTAAGTTCGAAACGGGCAGAAGAGTGATAATTGGCCCAAAGCTCTCCTCGGTTATGAGAGAGTCCTCGGTAGAGTCAACTAGGACAACGGTTGGTTCGATGAATTTCTCCTTCTCATCCATGGATCCACCAAGAAGGATCTTCCCCTTGGTGTTGTCGACCATCTGCTTGATGCGCTGGAAAGCACCCTCATTGATAATACGGGAGTAGTCAGGCGATGCTTTGGCTCCGTTTGGATAGTATTCTTTGATAGCCCTCTCAAACTCGACCACAAGCTGATCAACAACCTCCCTGTCAACAAGGATGTAGTTTTGTGATATACAGATTTGCCCGGCATTGAACGTCTTTCCCCATAGTAGACGTCTGGCAACAAGTCTCAGGTCCGCGCGCTTTGTAACAAAGGCAGGGTTACGCCCACCTAGCTCAAGCAAGACAGGCGTAAGCTTTGGGGCAGCTGCTTGAGCAACAATGCGGCCAACTCTGGCGCTGCCGGTGAAGCAGATCTTATCCCATCTTTCGTCAAGCAGCGCTTTAGTTTCTGGGACACTTCCCTGGACGACAGATACACAAGTGGGGTCCAAAGCAGCTTCAATGATTTCCTGGATCACGGCAGCGCAGTGTGGTGAAACCTCACTTGGCTTAACCACAACCGTGTTGCCAGCAGCAATGGCACCAAGGAGTGGACCAAGAGTAAGGACGAAGGGGAAATTGAATGCTCTATGCGGATAATTAGCCATATGTGCAAATGTAGTGTTGGGTTAGGAAGAGAGCGTAGCACCAACCCAATAATCAGAACACAGCCCAACGGGTCCTTTCGAATGGTTGGCTTCATCAGCGAAAATGTGAGGTCGATATCAGCAGCTTTTTCGTCTTTAGCCCACTTGGGGAGGTTTTTGGTAATGAATATGATATCGTTGAGCGTCGACACAATCTCTCCGACATAAGCTTCATATTCCGGTCTGTTCAGGTCCTGCTTAAGGGCCGCGGTCACCAGCTGTTCCCGGTCCTTGATACTAATCAATACAAATAAGAGCGTCAGCTAGGGCTTACTATGGGTGAATATACTGGGCAGAGATGAGAGACTTCTGCCACCGATACAAGAGGTTTAGCACTTACGCCCAGTAAAGCTTCCGCAGCTGTTGGATACGGAACTCAATAGGTCGAGTCTTGTGTTCGAAAAAAGTAGCCCGAACATTCTTCACGCGCGAGGGGATCTCCTCGACAGGAGTATATTGAAGAGTTGGGAGAGCTGTAGATGCCATCTTGTAGTCGTTCTGGGCTGTGTGCCGCGCCTGTAACAACCTGCCACTAGCTTCTTAAAACTTGGTCGTAAGAAATATCCAAAAAAAAAAAAAAAAAAAAAAAAAAAAAAAAAAAAAAAAAAAAAAAAGAGAGAGAGAGAGAGAGAGAGAGAGAACGAGTAGCCAATTGATCCGTCTCGAGCGGGGCTTATTGGGAATCGAAAAGGACAGTATCGATAAGGATGTCAAGACCGCGAGATCTGGTTGTCTGGGAAGCACGCCGATGAGGTTGTTTTTAACTTGACGTCGCAGAGTCGCATGCGCCAGTGTGAGATGCCGAGGTAACTTTTTGCCCCTGCAGCGGCTCGGGCATCGGAACAACCTGGGACGGGGCGGGATAACAGGATAACACCTGACGCTGACCCTCTTTGGTCATCAGGTTACAGAATAGTATTTTCTTGCATTGTTCAGGGTTACGTATTGAAGAGGACGTCTACCGGCTAGAGATACAGTCGGCATGATCATTTATTCATAGGAAATAAGATAGCAATTTGGATACATGATCATACATAGATTAGAAGAAGATGAAATCCGAATGAGAATGAGGAAAAAACCAAAACAAAAAAAAAAAAAAAAAAAAAAAAAGCTTGAAGAATATGATCAATATGTGAAACTCCGTCCGTGAAAATGCACCATCATTCCCTTATTCCAACAGTAATGTTCGTGATATGCAGTATTTGAGAAAGGAGCAGGCAAAAATAATCATTCAAAAACGCTCACAGAATGCATGAACAAAACTCAAGAACAAGATATAAAAGTAGAGAACGGTAGGGGGAAAATCAATCGTGAGATGACAAACATGGCATGAACAATCATAAACGTCATTAATGGGTCATATCATGCGGCGGTAAGGACTTGTCGAAGTTTCTCTCTGAAGCTCATGCTTGATGGAGCGTCCTCGCGGTGTTTATGTAGACTCGAGCGGCGTCGGCGCAGTCGTTCTGGCGGAGGGTCCTCTTTAGCAGTCTTCTCCGCCGGGGTTTCGAGTCTCATCGACCGTCGACGTTCTCGACGGTGCTCCCGGTGTTCTCGATGTTCTCGGTGCTCTTGCTCCTTTCCTGGATCTTTCTCCTTGGCTTCTTCCTGTTTGCTAGGCATTCGTTCTTTGCTGTCTTCACCTCTGCTTAGCCTTCGTTCGCGAGGCTTCGGTACTTCTGTTTTCGGGTTCGGGGGCTTTTCTTGCTCTGCCCCTTCATCAGTCTTGGGGGACTTCCTTTCACGCAGTTTGTTCTCTTCGCTTCTGGCGTTACTTCGTCGTGCTCGCTCCCTTACTTCCTCGGAGTTGGTTGACCTTCTTTCACGGCGCCTGTCAGAATGCGAACGAGAGCCCGAGTTCGACTGGGAATGGGTAGAGGAGCCAGAGGTGTTTGGAGGTGACGGCCGTTTGACGGGGGGAACTGGAGAGGAGGACTTTGCTCGTTCATTCACTTTCATGACCGGCTGGTGAGCTGTTGATTGGCCGGTAGTAATCAACCTAAGCAAAGCGAGAGGCTTGGAGGCGAGCGAAGATATCGGGTTTTGACTTGGGCCACCAGATTTAGGGGCGGCGTTAGGTCGGTCACGGCCTGATAGTGATAATCGCCGCACAAGGGGTCGCTTTGGTGGATTCGGGCCATGTTCTTCCTTGGGATGTTCCTCCTTAGGGCTTCCAGTTTCCTTTGAACGTTCTGCCTCAGCTCTGCGGGCTTCTCGCCTCTTTCGTCTTTCTGCTCGCTCTGCTTCAGTCTCGTTTGGTCGAGGGCGGTTACTTCTATGCCTAGTTTGGCCAGTGTGTTTCGTCTCTTTCACTTCAACAGGTGCATCGACTGGCGGCGAGGACCGCACCTCTCGTTCAGCTCTTGGTCGACGAGAGCTAGGTTTTTTCTCTCCCGAACTTTTTGAAGGTCGTGGTGGCTCCTCGGCTGGCGTGGATCGTCGGTGTTTCTTGTGTCTTTTTTCTTTTGATCGCTCTTTCGATCGTTCTTTCGATCGCGATTTGGATTTGGGCTCAACAGCAGCTGCTTCCGCAGCTTTAGCGTTAGGGGCATCTTTAGCAGCAGCAGGTTCTTCAATGATAGGTTTTGAAGCTGTATCTTCCGAAACGGGGGCTCCCACGGCCTGCGGCACTGGCTCTTCTTTGATTTCTTCAGCAGGCTTCTCCTCAGCAACAGGTGCGGGCTGTGGGGTTGGTTCTTCAGTAGTCTTCGGTTCCTCTTCAGCTACAGGTTCTCCTGCTGGCTGTTCATGGGGTGCTACTTCCTTGACAACATCCTCGGCCGGGGGTGAATCATCCTGAGGCTTTTCAGTTGCCGGTGCCTCAGGGGCTTCGGCAGGAGCTTCGGCGGGAGCCTCTTCCGTCACTGCTGGTGTTGGTTCTGGAGCAGGTTCATTTGGAATATTCTCTTCTACCGTAGCTATTCCCTGAGCTGTAGTCTCTTCTACAAGAGCAGGTTGTTCGCTCGCCTTTTTCATAACCACTTCATCCGGCTGATCTGAAGTCTCTACAGGGTCGTTTGGAGCTGGTGCTGGCTCCTCACCCACGGGTTCTTCGAGCTTAGGTTGTTCATCCACATCAGCAAGCTGTTTGGCTTCAGATTCTGCAGCTGTCGCATTCTCAGCAGCTGGTTCCTCAACAACGACCTCTTCAGCGGCTGCTTCGTTAATAATAGATTCTTCAGCTGCGGGTTCCTCTGCAGGCTCCTGAACAACAGGGTCTTCTGCCGGCTCTTTGACAGCCGCTTCCACAGCCGCTTCTTCTTCGCTTGCTGGTTCCTTGGCTGCTGGCTCTTCAGTTATTGGATCTTCTGGTTTTGATTCTTCGGTAGCCGATGAACCTTCTACTTGCTCTTCAGCTGCCGGTTTATCAATAACAGGGTCCCCGGCAGCTGGCTCCTCGGGTATTGGCTCAGGTTCTACCGGATCTTGAGTGTTAGGTTCTTCAATAGCAGGCTCCTCAGCAGCAGTCTCCTCAGCAGCGGGTTCTTTAGTAGCTGGCTCTTCAGCAACAGGCTCCTCAACAGCTGGCTCTTCAGCAGCTGGCTCCTCAACAACAGGCTCTTCAGCAGCGGGTTCTTCAGCAGCGGGTTCTTCAGCAGCTGGCTCCTCAGTAGCAGTCTCCTCAGCAGCGGGTTCTTTAGTAGCTGGCTCATCAGCAACAGGCTCCTCAGTAGTAGGCTCCTCAACAACAGGCTCCTCAGCAACAGGCTCCTCAGCAGCAGTCTCCTCAGCAGCGGGTTCTTCAGTAGCTGGCTCATCAGCAACAGGCTCTTCAGCAGCAGTCTCTTCAGCAGCAGTCTCTTTAGTAGCTGGCTCATCAGCAACAGGCTCTTTAGCAGCAGTCTCTTCAGCAGCAGTCTCTTTAGCAGCTGGCTCTTTAGCAGCAGTCTCCTCAGCAGCGGGTTCTTCAGTAGCTGGCTCATCAGCAACAGGCTCTTCAGCAGCTGGCTCCTCAGCAACAGGCTCTTCAGCAGCAGTCTCTTTAGCAGCTGACTCCTCAGCTTCTTCAGCAGCAGGTAGTTCAGGAGCAGGCTCTTCAGCGGCAGATTCCTCAAATGTAGGTTGTTCTACAGTAGATTCTTCGACTGAAGTCCCAAGGGTAGCGTTTGTTTCCTCCTTTTCTTCAGTAGTTACTTCCACAGGGTCGTTTGACGATTTGGGCCCATCAATATTGGATGCACTTTTGCCCTCCTCTTTGACATTACATGTATCAGGTGCTGCGTCCGCTGTGTCGTAATTTCCTCCTTCGGCCGTTCTCTTGTTTTCTTCTTCAATGCCTACTTTATCAGTATCAGCTGCTTCTCCTTCTTTTGGCACCTCTGGTGTTCCTTCAACTAGTTTCTCTCCCTCGTCTAACAGTTCAGGCGCTGCCCCTTCTTCAGCCGGATTCTCCTCTCCAGTTGAAGGTTCTTCAGTAGCTGGGACTTCTTTTGAAGCTGGATCTTCTTCGGTAGGTGACTCTCCTGCAGCCGGGTGTTCTTCTGGAGGTGGTGCTTCCTCACCAGCAGTCTTTTCCACAGATGTTTCTTCTCCTACAGGTGATTCTTCTCGGAGCTGCGCTTCTTCAGGAGCCGGCGTCCCTTCGGCGGGTGTTTCATCCACGGTTGTCTCTTCCAAAGGTGCTTCTTCAGTGGGGGCCTCTTCAGCAGGGGATTCTTCCACAGCTGAAGATGCCTCTGCAGTTGATTTTTCTTCAGTTGGAACTTCTTTCGCCAGCGATTCTTCCTCTGTGGTGGAAGCGTCTACGGCGGGAGCCCCTTCCGCAGAAGATTCTTCTGCAGGACACTCTTTTCCAACAGAAGCCTCTTCGAGGCATGTTTCTTGAACAGATGGTTCTCCTGCAGCTGCTGGCTTCTCTGTGGGGTCCTCTTCCGTGCTTATCTCTTTTGTTAGCGCCTCTTCTGCAAGCTTCTTCTCAACCTCATCCGCAGTTGGAGCCTCTTCGGCGGCTGGAGCTTCGTCGGTCGGGGTCTCTTCAGTAGGTAATTCTCCCGGAGCAGATGTTTCTTCAGCAGGTGACTCTTCCACAGCTGGTACTTTTGCTGCTGGTTCTTGTTCTGTTTGGGTCTCTCCTAAAACTGAGTTTTCTTCAGCTGGAGCCGCTTCTGCAGGTGGGTTTTCTTCCGGGGCTGGGGCTTCTTTAGCAGGTGGACCTTCTGATGCCGGTGCTTCTATTACCGGCTCCTGTTCCGCCGCAGTCCCTTCCGTAGCCGGCTTTTCTTCAGAGGGAACTTCTTCGGGAGGATCGTCCGCAGCAGGAGCTTCTGTTGCTGGCTCTTCTTTTGTTGGAGTCTCTTCTGGAACATCCTTTTCTTCAGCAGGAGCTTCTTCAGAAGGAGGATCTTCCGTAGCTGGAGCTTCTTTTGCCGTCTCTTCCCCCGGCTTGTCTTCTGTAGACGGCGTTCCTTCGTTTGGTTTTTCCTCCTCTGCTGTCTTTTGGGTCCCCTCGGAAGGCTCATTTTCCGTTATACCTATGGGATGGTAAGTACATGAGGCCCCTGCGGTACTCTAGGTGGTAGTGGGCAAGGTATACTTCCGCTACCAACAGGATAGCCAACTTACCTGGGGATGCTTCAAGGGCATCTTTTCCGGCGTCAACATTAGCCGCTGGTGCATCTTGTGGTTGTTGGTCCAAGGGGACGTCCTTTTTTGGTTTTGCGTCAGTGGTAGGTTCATCATTACCGTCATCTGATGGTGGGGAAGAATATAACGATGATATAGGGCAGTCTTTGAATTGACCAGTGTTCCAATCATATGTTTGATATTTAAACTGAGGAAGTGAAGCATACTGATAGCTTAGGTTCGACATTTTCGGGGAGTGCAGACGAGCCGTCACCTTCAGGTAGGTTGCTGCTACTCCCGTTGTCAATGTCGGGCACGACTGAATTGGCCGGCAGTCGGTTGGTAGCTCCCTTCTTTCCCTTCTTCTTTTTGGCCATGGTCAGGAATATCTGTAACGCTTTTGCGGGGATGTGAAGAGTAGAAAAAGGTTGAAGAGACGGAGACACAAGTGCAATGATATGAGAGGTCTATTTGGTGTGGCAGGCCTCGGCAGTTCGGGGATAGATTGGCGTCCGTCAGAAAGGCGACCTGCGGCCCGGGATGTAAGGTAAGCTTGAGGAATATTGGGGTAAGATTGGAAGAGGGGGGATAACATGAAGGCGTGGTTGAGCGAGATAGCAGCACGTCGGACGAGACAAATTATAACAAGTAATACTAGCTCCTATGATACAGGAAAGCATGTGCCCGATAACCTCATATGTCGTTTAGGCCTATCAAAGCAATCGTCATTGATGGAGCCATGTAATCAACGGTCATTATTGAGAATTAGAAACGATAGTTTCCCAGGAAATGGGCTCTCTAAAGCAGCTATGCAAGACCAAGTGCCATTGGGGCCACGTCTCGCGGCCCCATGGGTTTTCAGAAGAGGATTGCAGACAGCATTGGATGCACGCCCTACTAAGGCTTGTGGAAAGCGGCAGCTGTGGGAGGGAAACCAGGGTAACCTGCTGCACGATACTATAAATCGTAAAACAGCAAGTTAATGAAAACGTGACAAGAAATACAAGGCAAACGCTGTATCATGACAAGGGAAGAGCCACCTTGCTCTCTCTTTCGAGGGATGAGGCAGACAGGCCATGCACTTGAGCGGGTCAGAGGGTAAAACAGAGGCGGAAAAGGTCGAAATCAACAAGACCAACCCAATTGCAGCAACTTGCAAGAAAATCTCCCTCGTTACCGATGAGACGAAGAAGAGGTGTGGAAGTCGGATCTCTTCCAGGAAGTGACCCGGAAGCGATTCCGAGGATAGCATCATTTTCTGCCCAATATCCCGCAATTGGCCGCCTGGCCGACAGGCACTTGCAGGACTGTGGAGCACGCCTGAGGCAGGCGGTTGGTCAAAGGACCAGACAGTCTCAGATCCTCGCGATCTACCAAGGTTTTCTAACCGTTTGAGTAACTGTATTCCCCTGCTAGGGACCCTACTTCGGTTGCTCCAGAAGAAAGTCGTGGCTGGGCCAGAGATGATGAACCTGCAACGTGAACTGTAGCGAGTGGTCACGGCCAACACGAAATTCTCTGTTGTCCTGTTTCGTGCTATTTCTCATTCATTGGGTCTGATGCAGATGAGGCCGGAGCCTGACTCCAGAAAAAGCGACAGGTTCCAGAACGAGCTTCAGGTTGAGCAGGGAAGAAGCGCCAGATACCAAAACGTTTCTTTTTCGCCGTCTTTCAACGAGGCGAGGATGAAATAAGCAAGCCAGAAAGCCCGTTTAGGCCTAGTCGCGGATCGGCCCGACTTTAGCCCTAATGACTCAGCGATATGGACGGTTTCATTGGCTACAAATTCAAGACTGCTGTCTGATTGGCTGCCTCACATGCTCAATGGTTGCCCACTCAGTTGGTAACTTTAAACGTCAACTTGCTATCAAGATTTGGTGGCTGACAGGAGACACTCAGTCTTGCAAGATGATAAAGAGTGCAAAGTGTGACTTTGCGTGATGGCCGCTTTTGCTTACGCTAGTATCAGGAACAGGAATACGTCTTTTACCTCTCTGCATGACTTCCGCGTGCCCAGCAGCTGCAATCCGGGTGCAAGTGGCAGAAGGGATGTACCTGCCAAGTAGTTAATGGTCAGGTGCGCCCGCCTGGACATGAATTTGTTCATTCAGGATGCATATGCCCATCGTCTCCTGCATCTCTTCATGATATTTCTTTCACTTTCTATATTTTCGGTGGTAGTGGAGCCTGATAAGTTGGTTCTGGTTGTTGGCTGGATTAAACGAGAAATTGCTTCATCACATTAACGTCCGTTCAATTTTTCGCCTCCTCCAGGAAAACAGTGGTGCAAAACAAATCTCGACTGTCTTCGGGATCAGCATGCCAAATACGGAGTATCCGAGTCTTACGGTGGTGTATATTTTCCTCCGCTTTTTGCAGTGGTGGTGTAACCCCTCTCCTTTCCTCTTAGTAACCCCTCCATTATCGAGTCCATGGTATGCCCCCGATGTACAGTGTACGTGTCTCATTCCGCGGTTAACTGTTCTAAACCCTGTTCAACATGGCTTTTCAAGCGGGGAGTAGGTATCGACCCCGCTATCAAGGAAGGGTGTAATGCGTCAAAGGGAAGGTTAAATAGGCCAGCATTTGCTGACAGGAAGTCGGGGAAATGTAGGGAGAAGCGAAAAACAACTACATGGAGTCCCGCAATCTTCGTATAAAGGACATATCTTGCCTTGCTCTAATGGCTGCACGGAAACAATTTAATTAGCCTGCGGGATCGATATCCGAGTCTCGCCATCCTCGCGACCTGATATGAATTTCGGGAAACCAAACAAATATCATAAACCTTGAATCGTTGGAGGAATTTTTACTATCACAAATTTGTTCAATATTTGTGCAAACAAAACCTATACGTGTTTATAAAGCATCTGATAACGTCAACGTAGCAATCTAGCAGTTCCTTTGGCTGCCTCTTCCTGTCATGGCAAGAAGAGCTCCGGCCTGTCTCAGCGGTTCCTGCCCAAGCTGAAAATGCAAACAAAAACACATACATAGCCAGCGCCTCAATGAGCCACGTATACAGCAAAGTACATGTAAGGTGGCATATGTGTTTCGAATTATGTTGTTAAGTGCCTTGTTGAGTCGGGAGTCATATAATTTCAACAAGGTGAGCCACGATATGTTCGCATGAAACTGAAACCAAACAGAATGTTTGTGAGATTCAGCGCGAACAAGCATTCAAGTTGGAACGACAGTGTAGTTCTGCCCAACGTACGGAGCGTATGCCAAGGACTTGGTGAATTGATCTGCTCACTCTTTATGCAGTCCGTAGCCTAGGCAATATCAAGGTATGTGAATTATCTTTCATCGTTATAACTATAGGTTGGGTCAGTCAGTATATGTTGGATCCGAACTGCGAAAATGTACTACGGCTCTTAGTTACCCAAGCAGTTTCCAAAAAAAAAAAAAAATAAAAATAAAAATAACTAAGAACTACATACCGAGACCAGGTGAAAAAGACCCGAACAAGACGTCTAATTCAATAGGTTCACCTTCGATTTTCATTTTCCTTCTTTAGCTGTTCCTCCATTATTATTCTCCATCGTGGCCCTAACCGCTTCATGGCCCAGATCACAACGGAGCTAGCTAGACAAATAAGGCCAAGAATCGTAAATAGCCAACCATTTCCAATGGCATCTATAATAGGGGCAGCAACTACACCCCCAACACAAGAAGCTATGTTTCTCATGAAATTGTTCAAGGCGACACCGGCTGAAGACCGATTGGGCATAAATTCGGTCAACATAGTCGTTGACATGCTGAAAATTAACATTGATCCTAGGCCAAAAAAGAAATTGGCAGCAATCTATACCAAAACCAAGTCAGATGATATTGATGTGTATAGTTTTGCCTGAAACTCACCGTAGCGAACCAGTGCACCCCATTTTCTGCTGTCCAAGCATACCATATCAATGCAGATGGAAAAAGAAGTGCCCCAACCCATGCATTCTCACGCATTCTATCCTCGGGTATAAAAATGTATTTGCCATTTGCATCCACTCTGTTGGCACGCCTTGCTTCTCGTTTCATGATGGAGTCCATCCAAGGACCCCCAAAAACACTGGCAGCAATATAACCCAACGCCCCAGGGATATATAGTAAGCCAATGATGATAGTAGAAAAATTATAGGGATCTCTGCTGAACGTAATCTCTATACTTATGTTCATGACATACAAGCATCCAAAAGCGATACTTGCATAGTACACAGTTAGAGCAACAGCCGGGAAACGAATATAAAGAATTATCTTTAGAGGATCAATGATGATAATTTTGAACATGTTTAGAGCCCTGGTCGTTTGCTGTACGACCTGTCGAGATGACACCCGACTCAGAGTGCGTTCGATCTCCGGGCTTCCATTCTCTAGTTGAGGAGGCGGAAGAGGTTTACGGTTTGCAAGAGTTTCTGGCAATGCAAACAGTATGAAGACCAGTATAAGGCCGCCATAGATTGCAAGAAACCATTGCGTACTCCTCCATCCCAAAGATTGTGTCAAAATTCCACCGAGGATAGGAGCTATAAGGGGACCACAGAGAGGGCCAAGGTAGAAGATGCCCATAGCGCGTCCACGATCAATAGGATCCCAAACATCGGCAATTGTACCAGCCCCTACTGCTTGAACTGAAGCAGCAGCTCCCCCAGCAAGAACTCGCATGATGATCAACATCGTAATGGAGACCGAGAGAGCGGATAAAATACTCCATAGAGTGAATAAGGCGAATGAAGCAAGGTATATTGAACGGCGCCCCAGCCGCTCACTAAACGATGACCACCAGAGAGGAAATATGGATATACTCAGCATGTACAAAGCTACAGAAAGATTGGTAACCGTTGCCGTCGTATTATATGTTCTTGCAACATCGCCAAGTCCAGCTGTCAAAAAAATCTTTATATTAGCCCCTGTCGGAAAAATATAGAGATACCATGAGTTAACACGAGTGGCAATGACGTACGAAGAAATATAGCACTCCCCATGGGCGCGGCGGCAGCTGCCACAGCGACAACGAAAGTAATAAACCATTTTGATTTCCGGTTATAATGTTTTGGATTTTCAACCTCAGACAGTAGAGTCAGTGACCCAAATAGACCTCGCCGTCTGCCTCTGGGCACAACAACCGCTGGTATGTAAGAATTTGTTCTTGTCAGCTGAACGGCAGCCTCGTCTAGAGGTTGATCCGGTTCTCCATTATCGATGCTCACTTGGCTCCCTTTCTCCGAGGTAACAGGTGCATATTCACTAACCCCCTGGGTTGTGGCGATAGATGGCTCCCCAGAAATCGTTGGGGTGGAAGAGGTAGCAGGGAAGCCCGCTTGGGAAGAATTCCCCGTCGGTTGCTGCTGTTCAGTCCCCATGTAGCTCCGCAACTCCGCAGATAGCTTCTAGTCAAAGGTTCTCAATGAGAGAAATCCACAGTTCGAATTAACTTATCGCTTGTAAAGATCCTCACACAGCACAGAGCCTCATCCCTTATCGAGCCGAGTATTGCAGGACGTATATAAGTTAGCGAGCAACTGCGCTTTTTGGTATACTTAACGGAGATACCAAGAGACGTCAAACATGCAGGAAATCCGGGATAAAGTAGCGCTCTTCAGATAATAAAAACAAAAATAAATAAAGAAGAGAGCATTCAAAGAACCTCTTGAGTGGGGATGAGACCTACATATATGAACGGGAAGAAAGAATTTGGCCTGGACTTAAGCACGGATTTGGGAACCCTGGCCCGAGTGACGATATCCACTTTCTCGATGTTACTGTTTGCTCGTTCAGCATTTTCTCGAGACCCTAGCGAAGTAGTTGTTGGCCCTAAGAATTGACCTCGGTTGTCTGTTATCGTCGGAGAACTGTCCCTCTCAACTTCATCGCAGCAGGCAAATAAAATCAGCATGCTTGACCATGTAGCAACCCCATTGAATCAATAGCAGGTTTCCCTCCCACTCTTCGGAAGAGATTTGTCTCTTTGCATGCTCCTTCGTATGTAAAAATCCTGCTTGGATGTCCGGCAAATCGCACGGCTTTTCGGCGTTAAGCGTGCCGTTTTTGCCGAGGAAGGCGCCGTCCCGCGCTAGCCAATAGTATCATTCTATGAACATTGCTTATTAAGCATCATAGTTATAGGGAGCGTGGGGTTTGTCCAACTTCCCGGCTGTTCTCTAACATCCCAAAGCAGCATGCCAGTGGTGTATCAATTTGTGAACTGATGAGCCCAAAGTGATCAATATCCATCATGTCGAATTTAAATCCTGGGTTAAGTGAACGATTTCTCAACCTGAAAGACAAGCGCCCCATTGAGGTATGGGAGGAATTATGGCAGGAAGAAAAGACCCCTTGGGATAGAGGGGTACACAATCCAGCTCTGGAAGACGCCCTAGAAGAAAAGTCCGACATTTTAGGGAATGCTATTATAAAGATTGAAGGCGGAGGAAAAAGGCGGAAAAAGGCTCTTGTGCCTGGGTGTGGTAGAGGCGTAGACTGCTTTCTACTTGCATCATTTGGATATGACGCCTATGGTCTGGAATATAGCACCACGGCCCTGGAGGAGTGCCAGAAGGAGGCAGAAAAGTATGGAGACTTAGTGAAGCCAAGAGACGAAGAAATCGGAAGTGGAAAGGTCGCGTTCTTGCAGGGAGATTTCTTCAAGAGCGATTGGGTAGAGAAAGCTGGGTTGGAAGAAAGTTGTTTTGATCTCATTTATGACTATACTGTGAGCTGCCTCCGTGATTATGAAGACTGATTTTGGACAACGACTGACGGCAAGTGACTCTGTCCTGTTACTCGCATGTCGTAACAGTTTTTCTGCGCTCTCAACCCTCTCTTGCGCCCAGGATGGGCGCTCCGACACTCGCAACTCCTTGGACGATCCCCAAAAGGCTATCTGATATGCCTTGAGTTTCCAACAACGAAGGATCCCACTTTAGGAGGTCCGCCATTTGCCTCCACCCCAGAAGCGTATCTAGAACACTTGAGCAAACCTGGCGAAGATATCCCATACGACGACAAGGGCAATGTTCAGGCCGGTTTGTCCAACAAAACGGGAGATAACGGCTTGGTTCGTGTGGCACATTGGCATCCAGAGCGGACTCATGAAGTCGGCAAGGATTCTGATGGTACCGTAAGGGATTGGGTCTCTATATGGTGCCACAAGTGAAACGCGAGTACTTGCGAGCAGCACAACCGGCCATTCATCCCCTCTTTGTACGTACCTGGGTAGTTGATATGCATATTTTTGCTACTATCTCGCTAAGCATGCTCAAGTGGAGCTGTGAGATAGGGCATTGTAATGCTCCCCAAGTCCATATGTATGCCGATAGTACGCCAACCATATATCCTTTGTTTTAGATTCGTTAATTTCGCCATCTGGTAGGAACCTCTCGATCCGCCCGTCTCCTTGAACGACATTTATCCGCACGTTATAAGCACGCGCAATGGCCTGCAGTTCTAGCTGACCTCCCCATTCTGCCGTTGATTTTATTTTTTGGGCGTAATCTCCAATTGATTCTTCCAGGAATGGAGCAAAATCATTGGCATTGGAGAGTATATAATCAGCCGTTGTAGCCCGAACGCCCTTATAGCCATTTGTTTTTATCGCATCGGTTAACACTGGTTCCGATTGTTCTGGGCTCAGACAAATCCCATTTTCTATCAATTGCCACGCCACAGCAGAATACAAACAATGCCCATCTGGTGCGATATCTTTCTCTTTCAGCTTTAGACGCGCAAAGGCTTCATCCATAGCCTTACGTTCATTAGCGCGTTTGTCGGTTTGGTTTGCCGCTTCAATTGCAGCATTGTTAATCTCTGCTTCACGCTCGGCCGCGCGTCTAGCCAAACGTGCTTTTTGGCGATTGCCACGTCTTGGACCAGGTCCTCTCTCGGTTGTGCTGGTCACGGGGGCGGGCGGGTTAACTGGAGGCTCAGAGCAACCTGTTGTTCCATTGGTATTGAATTCCTCAGGCTCTTTAGCCTGGTCATTATTCTCGATATTCAGCTCATTCATCTGATTGATTGCGTCTGCATCTCCGACATCTACCTCCCCATTGAGTTGAGATATTTCGGCCTGCTGTTTATCTAGGAGCTGTCTCTGTAGACTCTCGCATTCATCATTGATACCTTTACGCGTCTTCTTCGTTGCTGACTTTTTCTTCTGTGTTATTCGTGACTGGAGGTCCCTTTGCTCTTTCCTATGACGAGCTTGCAGCTCCTCCATCCTGGACTGATTAACTTGGATCGAGATGAAATGAAATATATGGGTATTAAATCCGTAACAGTAAATAGATAGTACGGTTGCTGTGCGATGAATTATTTATGGTGATAGTCTTTATCGGTCAGCTTGTGGTCTTGACGTCTTGTCAACAGCCCACCTCAGAAAAAACGACACTTCTCTCAATAATGAACGCTTATGTAATAGCGCGTCAGTATCGCACGTGATATGAACTGGTTGGCTACTTCAAGTGATTTTCTGTTAGTTCATTGGACAACATTTTAAACGAGGTTCGCTGCAACATCCAATAATCTTGCACTATGTAGATGGTCGGGTCCACAGATCAGTGGGCTCCTTTAAACTTCAGGGGTATTATATTTCCATAACCTTGCTACTAACCGCCCAGACAGAGAGAATTCGGACCAATGGTGTAAAAGGAGGAAGTTGCCTCGGCATCTTTCGAAGACAACCGGCAGCCAGCTTTGGGCAGGTCTGTATAAGAACCGAGATTTCCTCAAAATCTACTATTCAGATGACATAGAGTGCATTCGATAAGACCGATAGAGATCAAAGAAATCCTCCAAAATGGACGCTGCATCCCTCTTCGATGTTAAAGTTCGTTCTCCCCCTCCCTTCAGGCTGTATTTCCAGTTGTGATAACCTGATTCTAATAAAAATGTGTAGGGTAAAGTCGTGCTGGTCACAGGCGGTGCCAAAGGAATTGGTCGTATGATCTCCGAGGGATATATTGTAAATGGCGCAACTGTGTATATCACTGCTCGAGATATCAAGACTTGCGAGGCAGTCTGTCAAGAGTTGAACGCGCTTGGAAAAGGCAAGGCATATGCCATCCAAGCGGACCTATACAAAGAAGAGGACTGCAAGAAACTCGCCGAGGAGTTCGGAAAGCACGAATCGAGTACGCTCTACAGGCTATCTGTATTTACTCGTTACTGACAAGGCTAACTAATGTCGGGTTAGAGCTCAATATCCTTGTCAACAACGCGGGCTCCAATTGGGGTGCTCCTTACGACGAATATCCATCATCTGCATGGACTCGTGTCCTTACTCTGAACCTTCACCGTGTGTTCAATGTCACGCAACTTTTCACTCCGTTCCTTGAGAAGGGAGCTGGCGAACTGGACCCAGCCAGGATAATAAACATCGGAAGCGTTGATGGACTACGAGTTCCAGCACTGGAGACGTTTGCCTACAGTGCTAGTAAAGCTGGTCTCCACCACCTAAGTAGGGTGCTAGCAAACCATCTAGGAAGGAGGAATATCACGTATGTCCCTTATCTGTTACAATGAAAGGTTCTTACTAACGCTGTGAGGGCAGATCAAACACTCTTGCTTGCGGTCCATTTCAAAGTAAAATGATGAAGGCAACTCTAGACAAGTTTCAAGAGGTGATTGAAGCTGGGATCCCACTTGGGCGTATAGGCACTCCACAGGATGTTGCTGGTGCTTGTCTGTTCTTGAGCAGCCGCGCTGGAGCATACATCAACGGCTCAACCATCACAGTAGATGGCGGAAGCGTCATTGGATCGAAGCTATAAGACATACTACACGCATGCACTCCGCAATCTAATTATCTAGCCATGTAACTACTATATTTTATATGAAGTAGTGTAAGCTGCATATATAATGTTGCATGCTGAGAAACCTTTGGGGTAAATGTACACGTGCTCTGACATAAGCATGAGCCGCTCTCTTGCCACCTGCGTGGGCCTTCAGCGTCATAGCTAAGTTGGCAGGATTCGATGGTGTGAAGGATCGTGTTGATGTCTAGAGCCGTCAACACGTACGTCTTTTTGTCATTCCTCTGCGCTGAAAGGGTTGATAGGGATGAGAGGATAAGCCAGGTTTGAGGGCTGCATCTCATCGTCATAACTAACCAAACCGCCGAAGTTGACTAAGTAGTTAGTTAACTAGCCGTCTTGGCAGATTGGTGCTTGACGTCTAGTTAGCTAACTAGCTACGTGCTCGAATCTCATTATTCCTTCATATCAACATCACTGCAGCTACACTGGATAATGAGCACGTCAGGCGGGCAACATAAGCGGCATTCCTCTGATGGTGTCGACCCTTTTTCCCACCCCGATATCTACTATGGCGAAAGGCAAGGAACCAAGAAGGTTAACCATAGGAGAGCGTTGTCATCTGTAGGTTACAAGTACTCTCTTATTGCCCTGATATACGGAGAGCATTTAATAATGATTATGTGACCGCTAGACTTTGAAAAGATTCAACGCTGAAGACTTAGAGCACTTGGTTGCTCGTAGAGGTAGCCATGGTAAGCTGGTACCGGCTTCATGTCGCTTGATCGCCCAAACACTGATTGTGCCTACATCGACTAGACGAACATTCATACTCACGCAAATTTCTTATCGATGTCGAACCAACCCTGCAGGCCCTCCTCGAGAGGGAAGATACAGATAACAATATGCAGATTACCATAGAGGACGCTGGTCCCAAAGTTCTTCACGTTGGTACAGCGGCATCCTCTGGTTTTAGGAAATCAGATCTGAGAGGGACCTACATGCTCTCCAACCTACTTCAAGAGCTTACGATAGCAAAGGACTACGGTAGAAAACAAATAGTCCTCGACGAACAACGCCTGAATGAGAATCCCGTGAATCGACTTTCCCGTTTAATCCAAAACTCGTTCTGGAAAGCTTTGACCCGCCGAATTGACGGTTCTAATATCGAAATCGTGGGAAGAGATCCTAAGGACTGGACCGACGACCCAAGACCACGCATTTATGTCCCAGCCGGTGCCCCCGAGCAGTATGAATACTATAATAAAATTGCTGAATCCCAACCTGAGCTCCGGTTGGACGTCCAGCTCCTCCCGAGTGGAGAAATCACCCCTGAATATGTGAGAGACCTGAACAGTAAGCCTGGGTTGTTAGCACTGGCCATGGAAGAATATGTGGATCCAGATACAGGAGAGAAGGACCTTCGAGGGGTCCCATACATTGTCCCCGGTGGACGCTTCAATGAGCTATACGGTTGGGACAGTTACATGGAGTCCCTAGGTTTACTGGTCACGGAGCATGTCGAACTAGCCAGAGACATGGTCGTCAACTTTTGCTTTTGTATCAAGCATTATGGGAAGATCCTTAACGCTAACAGATCATATTACCTATGCCGCTCCCAGCCTCCATTCCTGACTGATATGGCACTGAGAGTGTATGATCGAATCAAATCGCAGCCTGGAGCAACGGACTTTCTCAGGGAAGCCATTTTGGCAGCCATTAAGGAATATCACAGTGTTTGGGTGTCAGAACCACGACTTGATCCGAAGACAGGATTGTCCAGATACCGGCCTTCTGGCATTGGGGTACCACCTGAGACGGAGCCAACCCACTTTTATCATATACTCCTACCTCATGCAAAAAAGCACGGAGTTACATTTGATGAGTTTGTCAAGGCGTACAACAGTGGTGAAATTAAATGCGCTGAGCTAGACGAATATTTTTTGCATGACCGAGCAGTAAGAGAATCGGGCCATGACACATCCTATCGACTTGAAAATGTGTGCGCCAATCTTGCAACAATCGACTTGAACTGCCTACTATACAAGTACGAGATGGACATTGCACGTGTTCTGCGTGATCATTTTAAAGACAAACTGTACATTCCCCCTGAATTCCGAACCCCCGAAACGGAATCCAGGGAGTATGAAAGTTCATCCTTATGGGATCGTCGTGCAAGGAGAAGAAGGGCAGCAATTGATAAGTACATGTGGAATGAAGAAAAGGGGATGTACTTTGACTATGATACCGTCAAGGAACAGATCACTAGTTACGAGAGTGCCACGACATTTTGGTCAATGTGGGCAGGTGTCGCGAACCCACGACAAGCTGCCGCCCTTGTTAGCAAGGCTTTACCAAAGTTCCAAGCTTATGGCGGCCTTGTGTCAGGCACTGAGGAATCTAGGGGTAAGGTTGGTATTGATCGGCCAAACCGCCAATGGGATTACCCCTATGGATGGGCACCGCAGCAAATACTCGCGTGGACTGGGCTTATGCGATATGGTTACCAAGAAGAGGCCGAAGAATTGGCGTATAAATGGTTGTTTATGGTTACAAAGGCCTTTGTTGACTTTAACGGCACCGTCGTTGAAAAATACGATGTTACTCGTCCTATCGACCCTCACAAAGTCGATGCAGAGTACGGAAATCAAGGTATTGATTTCAAAGGGGTATCGAGGGAAGGGTGAGTAACAATATCTAGAAAAAAAATCGTGTCGGGTAATTTGTCTGACAGTTTTCTACTTTAGTTTCGGATGGGTCAATGCGAGCTACGTGTATGGACTTCAATTTTTGAATGCCCATATGAGACGAGCCTTGGGCGCATGTACTCCTTACCAAACGTTCAAGGAAGCGACCACTGCCGTGAACTTCTAGGGATATCGTTCCACCGGCCTGGAGCACTAGATGAAAAAGATGTGGTTGTTACTTTCCTGTTTCAGATGTTATGCTTCCAGCTCTGTTACTGGGGCTAATTAGGATGACCACATCAAGAGCAGGGAAGCTGGATATTCAACATGAATTCCACTCCTTTTCACTCTGGAAAATATTTTCCCTTTTTTTACGTATTTGTATTTTGGGACATTGTTTTCTTGTGTATGAAATTCCCGACTTCTATTCAACACCGTCTATTCCGTAGTTTTGAAATCTTTTGGGACCAAGTGACCTGTCTGCAAATATTTCCACAGTCTCAGCAAGCATTGAGCTACCACTTGCCAGCTGGATATCCCTAATACACTACCAGCCAGTCCGGATACCAATTTCGAAGGTCCAACGGAAGACACCCGCGACTGACGAACAACTGGCTGCTGTACTAGTACCAAAGCCACCAACGCACCAGCCGAGGCATACCCATATTCCCCAGCCATCTTATCAGATCCGTCTCGTCTCTTGTGTCACCTCCGGACTCTAGTTATTCGGCCAGCTTCCGCCGGGGATTTTCCACTGGTCAGGTGACGCGCCTTTCATGTGAGTAGCGCGCGTTGATTGGCTGCTCGGATGCTGGCCGAACTCACATGCGAACTCGTTGAACGTCATCTCCCTTTATTCAAGGCATTTACATAGCAGATTCAGAGCCCAATGCTCACGCAATACTTTGGATAAGTAACTATATCTAGCAGAAGCCAACAGGCTGTGTCTCCCCAGGTGAACTGGCGGAAGTTTCTCCCGATCATCAGATTTTCGGAAGCCTATATCCGCACATGTTTTTTAACTCCGATGGCGCACGAGAAATATGGATATTCCACGAGCAGTCTGGAATTTCCACTACTCTTAAATGCCGAGTGGGCCAACTCGATGTTTCCTCCTTAGCTCCAAGGCCGCCCATGCTTTTCGGACCCTGGCCGTTGTTGATGGGAAGGCGTCGAAGCTCTCCTATTGACGTTTATGCCTCGGCGGAACTGGATACTCTGACACTAACTGGAGACACCTTGAGGCCTTTCTTTGATTGACTCACAAGGCAAATGAAGATAAAATAAAACGATGCACCCACCCGGGTCAGCTTGACTCTCTTCCTTCCCTTCTTTGACTCATAATCAATTTTCGGAAGATCTTGTACGTCTGCACACCTAATTTGCTATTGAACCTATCCATCTATCTCACTGCCATAATATTTGGGCGGTTTTCTATAGCCTTTCAACATGTCATTCGTTGAACAAGAGGAACAGAAGTTCCTGCAAGAGGTTGAACAAGTCAAGAACTGGTGGAAAGATTCAAGATGGCGATACACCAAACGTCCATTCACCGCAGAGCAAATTGTTGCCAAAAGGGGTACCTTGACAATTGATTACCCATCAAATGCACAGAGCAAAAAGTTGTGGAAGATCCTGGAGGGTAGATTTGCTGTATGAGATCCATATTTCATATTTACTAGTCAACCCTGCTAACTGTTGCATCTCATGAAGAACAAAGATGCTAGTTTTACTTATGGTTGCCTGGAACCAACCATGCTCACCCAGATGGTGAAATATCTAGACACTGTCTATGTTTCTGGTTGGCAGAGCTCATCAACTGCCTCCTCTACTGATGAGCCTTCTCCCGACCTTGCTGACTACCCTATGGTAAGTACCATTTCAAATACCAATGCTCAAGGGTCTAGGCTTATACACTATTATTTAAAAACAGAATACTGTGCCGAACAAGGTCAATCAGCTTTTCCTGGCTCAACTGTTCCACGACAGAAAACAAAGAGAGGAACGTCTCCGTGCCCCCAAGGAACAGCGCAACAGCCTACCGAACATTGATTATCTCCGTCCGATTATTGCTGACGCAGACACTGGCCATGGTGGTCTGACCGCTGTCATGAAGCTCACAAAACTATTTATTGAGCGTGGGGCTGCTGGAATCCATATTGAGGATCAAGCCCCTGGTACGAAGAAGTGCGGACATATGGCTGGGAAGGTTCTTGTTCCAATCAGTGAGCATATCAACCGACTTGTAGCCATCCGAGCTCAAGCTGATATCATGGGTACGTTACGAGTTTCAAGTGATTTGTTACAATATCTAAATCCGTTGCTAATGTGAATGGTAGGGACTGACCTTCTGGCTATCGCGCGAACTGACTCCGAGGCGGCAACCCTAATTACTAGCACTATTGATCCCCGGGATCATGCTTTCATTGTTGGATCCACCAACTCTAGCATTGAGCCTCTTAATGATCTGATGGTTGCTGCAGAGCAAGCGGGCAAGAACGGTGCCGAGCTTCAGCAGATTGAGGACGAGTGGACCAGCAAGGCCGGGTTGAAACGTTTCCAAGACGCAGCCATTGACCAAATAAATGCTACTCCCTCCATCTCTAACAAAAAGGCTGCTATTGAAAAATTCCTTGCTGATATCAAGGGAAAGAGCAATTCTGAAGCCCGCGCTATCGCCAAACAGTTGACTGGTTCTGACATCTACTGGAATTGGGATTCGCCACGAACTAGAGAGGGATTTTACAGATACCAAGGTGGATGCGAGTGTGCCATTAACCGCGCCGTTGCATATGGCCCATTCGCTGATCTCATTTGGATGGAGAGCAAACTTCCTGATTATGCGCAAGCCAAAGAATTCGCCGAAGGTGTACATGCTGTCTGGCCTGAGCAGAAACTGGCATACAACCTCTCGCCTTCATTCAACTGGAAGACAGCTATGGCCCGCGACGAGCAAGAGACTTATATCCATCGTCTGGGAGAGCTTGGCTACAGCTGGCAGTTCATTACCCTTGCTGGTTTACACACAACTGCCCTGATATCTGACCAATTTTCCAAGGCATACGCTAAGCAGGGGATGCGTGCATACGGAGAGATGGTTCAGGAACCGGAGATGGACAACAAGGTCGACGTCGTCACCCACCAGAAATGGAGTGGCGCAAATTACGTGGATGAACTATTAAAGATGGTTACTGGTGGCATCAGTAGCACTAGTGCCATGGGTAAGGGCGTTACTGAGGAGCAGTTCAAGTAGAATAAATCTCCTTTCTTGGCCTGTTTGATATAGATAGAGATACTTGTATAATGATCACCTTTTATTTTGTCTATTTATTCATTCACCCGCTTATTAGGCCCCTTCTTGAGTTCCTCAGCTTTTTATCCTCCAGGGCACGATGCAAGGCTTGACGAGCCGGGGGGTTAAGAATGCGAAAACGGCGTTAGTGGATCTGGTGGTTGCAGGGATATAATGCATGAGGTTCCTACATGCCTCGAGTTCCAATTCGGAAACATCGCAGCATTAACCTATCTCATAGCAACCAATTCTATGATGTTAGAAATGCAAACAAATTTTCTTTGAATTAGATGAATTACTGTGGGTAAGTGCGATTCTCTACAGTGGAATGAAATCTGCCTCGAAGGCATCGAACTGCAAGCTGCATATCCTACCTCCCTAGTGACAACGTTAGTATATTGAACTCTGCAGCTTACTCAAGCCTGCTCCGAACGGAACTAGCCAGATTGATGGTGTTAAGCTCTATATTTCCATAGTTTTCTATTTTCTTAAGCCATTTTTGGAAATTGGCTGCAATTTTCCAAGTGGTTGTTGTCGTAGCAATGTTTCAGCCCGAAAATCAAGCAGACAGCGCGTGGGTTGGTATTTGCAGCGGCAACTAGAATCTGGTCAGTATCTCAGGACGTCGCACAACACTAGTCTAACGTTCCGGCACCTGAATATTATTTAGGGGGAACGGTGGATTTTGATCTTCCATTCCTATCTATGGACGGAGTTCGGTTTTCAACTCCCCCAATCATTCGGCGTAGCACCACGCCTCGCTGATGGAGGTTGCTGTCAAACATAATTCTTCCTCCATGTCAACGCCACTCAGACTGACATGGGTAGTTCCCCATACAATATCCCCGCACGGTGCTTGTTGTGCTTCTATAGAAACATCGGACGTTGTCAATTATCATCCAAAGATACGGATAAAGAGCGGTTTTGGGGGAAACAAACGGAATTTAGTTATTTATTACTTGAGCCGTTGGGTTGGTCTTCCGTTACTTATCTGGCGATAAGCCCAGCACAGCTAGGCCCTGTACTGCCTGTTCCATGTTAGAGTCCAGGATCAATAGGTATTTATGGAGGTTGAATAGTTCCTCCTCCAATGGCTTGCGAAACATGTGAGATACCACATACATGATGTAGGCTGTAGGATGTAGGTTGTACGATGTCCAAAATACACCAGGGCTGCGGCGAGAAAAGAGATTGCTGAGCCTTGCAACAAGCAAGGGTTCATCTGGAACCAAAAAAAAAAAGGATGAAAATATAAAAAATAAAAATAAGGTTAGTTAAATCACGAGTATTCTGCCAAGACTTAGCTCGTTTATTTTGTTAACTCGTTAACTAGTTGGTGATATAATTAGTAACGATGAACTAGTTAGTAAACAGCCAAACAATACGAAGCAGAATTGGAATACTTTTAAGAGAGATGGCCCAAAATGCAGGCATACCAGCCATGATTTAGAAATGTCAAGTAGTATGCTAAGTAAAAACGCCTTTGAATGTCGCATGTCCCTGTATAACTCCATAGACGTAGAAGTGGCGCTCCTTCAAAGGTATGGGAAAGAAATAAAATGAAAACATTCAGGCGAAGTGAAGTGCTCCTCTATATATGCATAGAATGGAAGTAGAATGTAAAAGTATACAAAACCCGAAGATGCCAATCAGAGATACCCAAAGACATTTCAAAAAAAAAAAAAAAAAAAAAAAAAAAAAAAAAAAAAAAAAAAAATCAATATATGTTCATGAAGAGAAGTCGTTAAAGGCGTAAAAAATCAATGGGTGGAAAAGAGGCGTGAAAAGAATATAAGAAGTAGAATAGAGATGAAGAAGAAAAGTGCGGGAAAGTCTCAAGGAAGCATAGAATCAAAGCAAGCCACAACCCAACAAGGTACATCCCAACAAAGAGATGGAAATTGGAGAGGGGAAAAATAAACAAATCCCGGCACCGGAGGGGAAAAGAAGATGCACTGAGTCTTCATCCAAAGGACCCATGCAAGGAATTGAATATATAAAAATAATATAAACCCATCATTTTATCAAGGTGTATAAGATGAGATGAAGTTGGCCTTGCGTGGAGGGAGAGGAATTAAGGTAGTCAGCGCTCCAATAAGTTTGGAATAGAAACGGAAAATGGATGAAGGATAAGGTCTGAGCTAATAGTATACTATCATTCAGCCAATATGACTTGGGTCGGAAGTAGGTTTTCTGGCAAGTGAAAGAGGCCGTTGGGTATCTTAGAATAGAGTTAAGGAAGAAATCTAGGAATTTTTGAGCCAAATTCGCCCCGCGAGCGAAATCAACTACACCCAATCAACTATTGGCTGGATTGATTCCGAGGGTGGGAGCAAGTTTACATCGCAAGGATAGCCATGCGCTTCAGGCCAGGTCATAGGGAGATTGCACTACAGGTCTGTTAGTAAAATTTATAGATGATAATTTCATATTTTGGATGGGAAAAGAGGTATCACCTACTGTGCGTGTGCTATCATCATCGCCTGGGAGGGTAACCAGTGGTGAAGCTTGTGCTATTGTAGAATCGACCGCTTGAAAACTGCCGAAACTCGAGTCATAGGGCAATGAGTTTCCCATAATAGTTGGATCGACCATGGGCTCATGAAAGATACCGATACCTGTAATGTGCGATGTGCTGAACGGGAAATGGGCCCCATGACTGCTATCGGAAGAAGGAGATCGAGAACACTCCGGAGAAGAGAAGAGGCTTGACTCGTCGCCTGTAGAATATGGGACGCTGGAGTATCCAATAGATGGGTCGGATGCCCTTCTAAAGCTAGTCCAGTATGGTGGTGAAAGAAGTTGGGTGTTCAAGTATGGAGAATGCGCGGCTTGAAGTGAGTGTAATTCGGGAGTGACTGGGGAAATTTGAACGGAACTTGGGACGGAATGAGGCACCGGAACGGAAGGAGAGGACATTGGTATAGCATCGGAGGCATCAGAGATTTGGCTGATCCGTCTTTTGTGACCGATGGTTGGCTTAGTGGAAAGGGCATCTTGTTCACTGTCCAGGCTGATGTTAACATCTTTTTCTCCACTATCAACTCGGTGTGGAATCATACTGTTTCTCCATGTGACGTGAGAGAAGGTCGGATCGGTGGAAGCCTTTCCCACATCCATTGATGGTACAGACGAAAGTTGCCTGTGGGTTATGGTTCAACTCATGCCGGCTATAAACGCGAAGAATCTTAGTATTAAGCTCTTGAGCGGTTTGCGCATAGGCTCCGTATAGGTAAAGAGGGCGGGAGAGATATACCGTCTATGTTCGGCTCTTGTGAATACCTGAAAGGAAAGAAAAGAAAGAGTATTAATAAGGAAAGGTCTAGAAAGAAAGGAGCAAGGAAACATCTTGCACTATTTTGCACCTTACCTTTGAACAGCCAGGAAACTGGCAGGCATGGACTCTTTTGCCCTTCTTTGCTTTGCTCACTCGATGTGTAGCAGGAGTGTATGTAACAGGCATGCTGACATTGACATTGTCTCGGCGCTGGGATTTGGGGGCGCATTTGCGGATTGGTATGGTAGAGGACATGCCGACAGTCCCCTCCGAGTGACTTCGATAAAGTTTCATAGGGGTAGGGCGGTGCACACTGAGATTTGGCGAGCAATAACCAATGAAGGGAGTGCTATCAACCGGAGAGACCATTGTGGGAGTAAGTAGAGGAGTGTGCGGCGTGAGTGGCATGGTCAGCGGCGTCAAGGCGGGGACTGAGCAAGGGACCGCTTCGGTATATGGACTGGACCACGCCAAAGCAGGATCCATGGTAGCTGCCGTTGTTGGAGAGTCCATCGTTCAAAAGAAGGGAGTATCAAAATGAAGAAGAGTCGGCGGCGAAGAGATGTCAAGCATTTAAAAAGCAAGAAGCTTGAGGATGGCAGCGGCTGTGATGATTGAGACCCGAGGTAGGATGGCTGTAGGGGAGTGAAGAATCCGTTGAAGTCTGCAGGAGCCATGACGAACTAAATAAAAGAGACCTGAGGGTCCCTATTATATATCCAGATGCAGTCAAGGTGCGCACGAACGAGTATGTCTCTCTGTGGTTTCGCGTCTGCTCTGCGTTAGATGTCGATTCTCAGGATGCAAGGTAAAGTTGCAAATAATACCCCAGTCGGACCTAAAACCTTAGCGTCAGAAAAAAGCAAAATGATGGTTAAGACAATCTTGAAAAAGAAAGAAATGTGAGCAAATGAGCCAAGGTGGATCAAAAATAGAAGCTAAGTACACAAATTAACCCGTGATGGGTGGGCAGTGTGGCTGCTGGCGCTGTGACGGCCAGGAAAGATGCAGGCGCCGGGGTCAGGGGTTGATGCATACTCGCGCTGACCTTTTCGCCTCTCTTCTCCCCTTCCACCCTTCTTTACCTGGCTTGTCGCAGCTGTGTGAGCGTGTACGTACAGAACTAAATCGATCTTGAAACACTCATCACAGGCGCTGGCGGCTGGGACTGTTATCCTAGGCCCTTCACTGGCGGGCAGTTATGCAGGGCAGCGCCCCGATGCGCTGTTCCCTGGCCGTAGAGCGGCCTTCGAGGGTGGAGCATAAAGTCCAGAGTAAGGACACCTCTTAGTGCTCTCGAGTGATAGCCATGAGGGTCGGCGGCTAAGTGCACCATTGTCCTATTCTAAGAACCAGAACTGCCATGGTAGATGATATCACCGCTGTCAACGTCGTCGTCGTTGTCGCCAAAACGTTTGACGTTGAAGAGTGTAAGGCAAAAGCCGGCTGCTTACTCATTCATTTATCACGTGATGGGTAAGGGTCGGGTTAATTTCCAAATTCTCGCGAGGTTGTTATGTTCAGCATCCGACACCGCTACGTCTTCGCGGCATCGCCATGGAGCATAGAGGGCAAGATGAAGAGCTTGCAGTCTCTGTATCGGGTCTAAACGCCCGGCGTCATGCAGACAAAGACATCTCGCTGGCAAGTTTCACATCCAGGTACCTGCTCAATCGTGCCCATCACAACCTGATCAACCAACATTTAACCCAGCATTCCGGGTGGTCGGTACGCCGCCCTTCTTCATAACATCCGCCCAGTCCCGTCTACCAATGAGAACCAGCCTTGTATTCTAAATCAGGAACAAAAATAACCCAAGGAGCAAAACAAAATAAAAGAAAATGACGGCTAATTAGGCCGCTCATCTAAAAACTTAGTTGGATTATTCGGGACTCTGAAACTAAGAATAACAACATGCAGCCGACTAAGGCACCTGCAGGATCCCGAGCAAGCGGACAGCCAGAAGAAACCCCAGGTTTGCCGCCGAAATCTGCAGCCAATTTCACACTCGCTCTCATGTACAAAATCTTCCCCAACTTCCAAGTACCCAACCGCCAGGTCGCCGTGTTTCATCCATTCTCATATAACCAAGTTTTGTGTCACTAGCCGCCCATCAATCAAGCAGCGGTTGATCTTTCTCCCCAGGAGAGGCCTTAGGTAGGCCACAGCATCCACTTTTCTTCTTTTCTTCTTTTCTTTTTCCCTCCCTCTCACCTCTTGTCGCCGATAGTTCCCTCCACTATCGGCCTGTCCGCCCCAACACGCACGAACAAACCAACCATCAAATTTGAAATAGTGGCTTCAGCTTATGATCGGCTGCTATATCCGTGAAGGAGAACCGCCTTTTCAGAACCTATATTAGTATTATCTAGCTTTACACCTGCCAACCGCAAATGCATCACTCTACTCCTCCTACTGAAAGTTTCGTGTTAATTAATGCATGTATTCAGCTACCGTTTGCGAGAACTGGCCACGGCCAGCCATCACGCTTGGGCTTTCTAGAGCCTGCAAATCCTTCATCATACGCATACAGCTGTCAGAGCTAACTAGGTATGCGGAACTCGATTCTATGCTCCACGCTTGTCTCAGCAGGGGCGTTGCGGGGCCGCTGCATGCCAACCACCCTATGCCTGCGCTATCTCCTAACTGACATACTCTATAGTTATTGTTGCTCTACATAGAATATCATAGAAGCCGAAGAGCGAGGTGAAGTATAACTGTAAATATTTACTAAGGTGACAGAGCATGCAAGTTGAAGTTGTCTGCTCGATCTGGTGAACTTGACAATGAAACTGATGAATGGTCTTGAGCTATAGTGATATTTAGTTCCCGTTGAGTTAAGTTTTCCCCTTCGATTGATCATTCTCCAGCGTCGCTTACTACACCATATGCCTCGAGATTCCAGGATCGAGGTCGTTTCATGTTTATAGAGGACGAAGGACAGGCCAAGGCCAAACACAGTACATACATATCGGCCAGGAAATTCTAGTCATGCATGAGCTGTGCTCCACCCTAGTGCATACTTTCCACCCCAACGTACCATCGTATCGTTTATGTATGTTTCGGAGTCCCTACTCTCCCTCTCCCCATCACTTATCCATATTATACTCTAAAATCAGAGTCAGCAAGCACTCCAGGTGCGGCCCCAATCTATGTATATATCCTTGAAATTCACGGTAGGATTGCTGCGCAAAAACATGGAGTATGGCTACTGCCAGCCGTACGGTTTCACAACAGAATGGAAAGCTCACCTGGTTAACCGGTCAACATAGCCTCCTGTTCGCACTTTCCTTTGCTGTTTGTTTACTCTGGCCATCAAATGTGGGTAAGTTAACCTAAATTAACTTTGCTAATAATAAACAGCCGCTAAGCCAAAAGCAGCCGCGCAGAAAGAAGGTTTGATTAGATAAGTCCCATAAGTTCGATAAAAATAGTAACTTAATCTGCTACTGAATGCATGCCAAGCTGGATTAATACGACTAATTAGCACTATTAATAAATAAAACTAATTAGCCTGCTTTACTAATGCATCCTCCTCCTTTTTTGCAAAACGCTGAGGAAAAATCGACTTCGAGTAGGGTCAGACAAGGGCAATCCTCCTCGCGCCGAGAGTCAAGACCGGCCCTGTGCTCGCCAGGGCTGATTCACTTCCCTGCCATGCACCGGCGGTTGATGCAGACAGGCATTTCAGGCTGTAAAAAATCCCCGTCCAATCACAGCCGCGAGATGCGGAGTCTTAACTGTTGGTTTTGCCCTTCTCCTCCAATGGTCTACTCCCCTGCTATCTTTTCCTATTGAACATTTGAAGGCAAAAGCTGCCAGTTGGCCATTACCAGATTACAAACCTCTGATATCCCATGTCATTCTGCCGTGCTTTTCAAAAGCCTGTCTTCTCCTTCTTTCGCCAGTACAAGAGCGAATCGGGAGAATGAACTGGTCATTTTAATTAGGAGTCCTTCTATCTATCCCTACTATTTCGGATGCCATCCCTCGCAACATGAATATCTTATTTCCCCCATCAGGCCGGTTTTGATTTCCTTCATGTGTTGGGTAGCGAGGTGATCCTGCAGCTAGGGGAAAGCACCTCGACAAACATCCATCCTACCTACTTCACTGCTATTTCCTTGTTATCCGGAAGGTGCCTTCCTCTCCCCCCCTTTACTCTCTTCTTCCAGCCCATGGAAGCATATCGAAGCTGAAGATAGCCTGGCTAGATCGTCGTATTAGTAACATGACGCAGTAGATCCTTCCAAAATGCTGCTCTGGCACTTTCCGCGCCTTGTGTGAAAATTCTGCTCTTATTCTACTGAAAGTACATAATCAGCCTCTTGTTTCATTAAGCTGCAAGGGGTAGATAAGGCTGTTGTACAGTCCGGTTTGCAGCCTCTACAGTACACAGCTTAGAAATATCTAGCAGCCGGTTAATATTTCGGAATATGTTCCCTAGACAACTAATGATAATTTGGGATATCTTAAGACACATTAGTAAGAGACGATAGTAAGCATGCATATTCAACAGCTCGAACCCACCCTGTAAAATTTCCAACACAATGTGCCTCCTGGCTGATTAAATGAATGCGTTTGACTCAAGACCATGTTTGGGGTTTAGAATAATTGACTGTACGGGAGTTAAAATCTAGTATATAATGATTGAAAATGAATTTCTACCTAAGTCTATAGTTACTATGAAAGGGGTGCTGTTGATGTTAGGCTATGCTTTAGTGGTGATCAAAGCATTCCTGGTGGTGTTTCATCAAAACTCTAAATTTCGGACCAACACTACCTATGACGATATGTTTGATCAACAGATGGTGGTATAGATCGCAGCACTGACGACCGGCAGTCATACATTTGACGTTCGAGGTCTGATAGTGATGCGAAAATTACTTGAAGTTCACTCTAAGCGTCAGGAACAGGAATCCTCAGAGTTAAAAGACAATGCGTGATAAGGTTGAGTGCAGGAAACAGCATCGGTGATAGAAAGGAGCTTTGTTTGAGGCACAGCCTACAGAAACCACAAGGCTGCGAACAAGAGATAATGTCATGGTTCATGTGATTATATACGTGCAACAGTATGGTGTGCCGACAGGGAATGCTTGCCAAGACATCTACCGTATATGTATTTGCTTGTGGTAACAATCAGTCACGATTCCTTTCAACATTGCTTGGAACAATCCCAGAACACCATCCGCATCGACTTCGCACGGCGCCTGAGGTTTCTTGTTTCAAGTATGTTGCGTTTTCCCGGTCATCGTCACGTTCCTCGACACTAGCCCCTACACGGACTCTCTTCTTGACTTTTTGCTTGACCACACCCCCGATTCCCTCGATCTCTTGCCGGAGGTAGCCTGGTTCCTCATCATCCCGGCCATCCGAATGCGAAAACGAGCTAGAATGACGAAGATGCTCGAGGGAGCTGTCATTCGAACTATCAGAACGGGAAAACTCCGAAACCCGGTCTCCGACTTCACAGTCCACTTCTACCTCAATGTACTCGGCGGCAAGACACCTTTGCTCAAGGCCACACTGCACACCCTGGCCGCAGTCTCCATACCCGACCCAGTGACCACCTCCGCCGAGAAATTCATTGTACCTGGTGCGCCATGACCAGACACGTTGGTAGGTGACATCTTCGGCCCTCAAGTGTTGGCCACAGGGACGGCAGTACCAAGAATTGGTATCACAGGTGCATATATGCAGGCCGGAAGTTTGTCCATTTGTGGCCATCCCATTTTTATGGTTACTTAAAGGTGCTTCGATGCAGGCTGGGCAAATCCGCCGCAAACGGTTTTTTAAGTTTGCTAATGAAGGAGGTTTGACCGTGCAGTTCTAAAAACAAAAACGACAAGAATGTTAATGAGGACTCAGTAGGTGAATACAGGAGCTGTATAAAGAGAGACGAGCAGCCGTACCCTACAAACATATTCGTCGCAACGCTGGCATTTGTCAACCATATCTCTGGCGCAACGTCCAGATTTCCCCCAAGTAAGACTGCCGTTCCGGGTAGGAGGCCGACTACCCCATTGGACATTAGATGACCTTGAGCGAGACTGAATTATTATGTCGTCAAGGACCTCGTTCCTACAGCGTAGGGTTTCCTTGACGAGCTGATTTCGAAAGATAAGGAGCGTAGAGTGGACCTGACGACATGTCATGGATAATGAATGTAGAGTAGTTAGGTCCACACACCGAGCGAGCATGGTCACTATCCTGTAAATAAGAACGTAAAGACAAGCAAGGTATGATGGTCAACAATCTTGAACAAGAAATTGCCAGATACCACAGCATTCAAAAAAGGAAGAAATATATAGAGAGAATCAACATATTTCATCCTCAACAACAACAACAGCGGCAAAAGGTGTGATGTTTTTGCGTACGGGTAGCAGCTTAATGCCATAGATATAATGCCATTCAGGCTCGAAGGATCCATATCCCTCTCGGGTCCAGTTTTATCAACTATCTCCGTCCTGGTGGAATCGCCAGCTCGCAGTTGGGGCAAGGATGCGGCGAGCATGAATTGACTATCCTTGGTGAATGACGGCGGGGGTATGTTCCCTGACTCGAAGGAGCCGATAGCAGGTTTGCTCGGAGACGCATCTTCGAGCGAATGGTCTATGAACACCACCATGGTTGTGCCATGCAGATAACCCCCCTAATATGAGCGGAGCGGACCGTGAGAAAACTGTGGCTAGTTATCCAGTGGAATAGGTATCTGGATAGCCGGGGTTAATGCACAAGCGAAGAACTTGTTATTAAAATCTAAGACAAGACATAAAAGAGGACAAGGAGAAAAGAAGAGAGGAAAGGGACAGTCACTAAAGAAACATGCTGCCAGGTCACTTCACAGCTCGCAAGCACGACGAAGACCAAGCAAGTCCAAATAGTTTCACTCGAAGTTGACGTGCGGCTAATGCTAATATAATCGGTTAAAATCATAGGGCCGTCTGCGGGTTCTTCTACCCACTCACTCTCTCGTCCTTTCTAGTAATTCCAACTGCGAGGGTCAGGTGACGTTTATGTAATCAACAGACCCCGCCGGGGCCCGACCGCCCGAGCTTAAAGCGGCATTTAGTAATTCCGCTTTCCGATAGACCAATGGAAAAATTGGAAAGAGATCTCGTCCAATGGAAACTGAGCTCTAGGTTCCTGCCCAAGAATATTCCTATGGTTGATAGGAGGAAGCCAGGCCCGTATTTATGGTGTACAAGCTTTACAATCGCTGGCTTTGTGGATATTTCTATCCCCCTCAACCTCCCGATTCCAGTTGCTCCGTAAAAGAAGCGGCTTTCAAGGAGGATGGATAACCAAGTTATGTTTCCGTCGATGCCCTACTTCTGCTGCCTCCGGCTTTTGTCATGCTGGTTACGATCCACTCCTGCTCTCGTTCTCCAATATTCTTCTCGGGTCTCGAATTGGGATCGTCCTCGGTCCACTCGTATTTGAAATTCGCTGGACAGAGACGACAAAAACAATACTACGATGCAGTCGTCAAGCGAAGCGCAGGGTCCCGATATTCTATTTGGGAGCTCCCAAATTTGAGGCAAACTTCTGCTGGGATGGTATAGATTATCTCAGCCTGTCAATCGCACAGCTACCTATCCCAGAAATCTACGTTATTGCTTCTGATTCCCCAGCTAATACTGCAGTCTCGGTAGCTTAACAAGACATGCTGGTTAGAACAGAGCTGGTTTCGCATTAATGAATTTGAGAGATGTCCAGCTCTCTACAGCGAACCAGATCCTAGGGGGTAGTCGCTTCTGCACGAAGACTGTGCATTATTGGGAACACTCGAATGTTGTATGTACGAGTTGCTTCCCTATGTGATGTATACAGAGTAGGAAATTCAAGCGGAATCTTGATTACTAGGTTGCGGACTGGAAAGAGGGAGACACATAACATTACTCCCGTACGAAGCGATGGGTGATCAAACATATGGCTTTAACGGAACATAAACTGTCTCCCGGGAGAAGAGCCTGTGTGCTTCCAGCCTTGCCCTAGGCCGAATTGCAATTATGCGGACCACTGGCCCCTCTTTTGGCATTAAGCCCACTATCTCTTGACCAGTTACAGAGTATGGCTGTACCCGTTTCTTACCCGTCTGCAACAGAGGTACGGAGTAAATAAAGCTCAGAAGATTCCATGTCTTCTGTGCTTGGGATGAACTCTTCGATTTCGAAATGCTTGACCTCACCACACTTCCGGCGGCTATCTCGCTAGTGATCGGTTGCCCACCTACTTAGGTTGGCTTCAGACAGCCTAATTCCGGCCATTGGCCTGTGCTGTGTCACATCGTTACTCGAGCTGTGAGATACCTTGCATTTGTACACCCCTAACTGCTTTCCATCCTGGCTCGTTGGGATTGAGTAAGTGCCCACAGCTGAGTAGGCCGGTTGTCTGTGAGGCATCTTCACATCATCAATTCACCTAGTAGAATAAGTAGTTAAGCTTAACTAGTTAGCTACCCCCTATACCAGGTACGTATAAACAAATAATCAAGCATGCCTTAGAGAGTTTGATATCAACCGCCCCACAGAAGGCCCAATTCTTACTTTACTCCTGCTTCCCTGCATCACACCGAGGGATCCATCCTTTCTGGGGAAACTCTCTTTTCAGCCAAGTATGCTTGTTATTTCCACGACAACCCTACAACCCTATCAATTGATGCGCATTCTCGGTTTCGACAAAATCTAGCTCACTACACACAAGCGGCGACTTGTCACTTTCGAACGGGGCTGGTGTGGTTTAAAACTCATGTATGGAGTTCAGAGTACGAAGAAGTTACGGAGTCCTGGAGCTCCGCAGTGCGAGGAAGAATCTTCCAGCAAAGTGCAACTAACTAACTAGCTCGTTAGCTAGCTCACTAGTTTACCAGGCTGCGCCAACTAGCATGACTATCCCACCGAGTAGTTACCTGGCTTCAACCACAGTGCTGGCTGATACACTAGGCTAGAGCTCGAGATGGCCTGGTTGACTACGGAATCCTCTATCGGCTTTGGGCAGGGCTGCCTATGGTTGATCATCCCTAACCACAGCACCATAGCCTTTCCCGCGATCAAGACTTCCAGGGTAGCTAATTGCTATCCAGCCTTGTAAAGAGCGGCTCTCCTTTGATGACCAACTTGAGGGTTCAGGCAAAAGCAAATAGTGACGGGAGGAGGAGAGAAAGAATCAATGCGCAGGTCAAAAAAGGAAAATGAAACGGAAAGGAATGAGTAATTTTGCTTTTTTTTTTTTTTTTTTTTTTTTTTTGAGCATTCGGAGCCAGAGTAACCACAAATAGCAAAGAATGCTGTATGACATGGCATGGCATGGCATGGCATGGTGGGATCCTTTACCCCCAAATACCACCACAATATATATAACTCGAAATTCTGTAAACAGTCTTGACACCACTGCTCCTGAGCACCGCTTGATCTCGCTTCAAAGCTCAGACACAGAGTACTCCTCCCAAGTGGGCGTTCCGTCTTACCAGTTGGTTCGATTGCAGCCCTATCAAGCCTCTCTTGGTTGCAATACTTGCATCACAGCTCTGACAGACATCATAAGCCATGGCATCGATAGGGAGTTTGAGTGTCTCCGACCTCATCAACCACACCATCCCCTATCAAATTACTGCCCTATCTATTGGTCTCTTGGTAGTTCTTATCTTGCTTATCGACCATGCGGACATTCTCCTGCGTTCCTGGCATGTCAGGGGCCTCTACTGTGTTACTAGCCAGACCCTTTTCAAGACTCGGTTTAGGAAGAAGCTGAGTGGCGCCGAGTTAGAAAATGCCCTTCAATACGCATACGATAATGTAGGTTGACCCTTCCCAGGTGTACAAGAGTGGCACCGCAGTCGGCAATGCTCGACTAGATATTGTTACTGACTATCTTTCTTTGAACAGTATACCAAGCAAGGGAAGCCGTTTGCAACCAAAGCAGACCTTGAAAGTTGGATCATACTCCTTCCGTCGAAAGCGATGAAGGAATGGTGTAATTTGCCTTACAGCCATTTGAACTTCACGAGATATCTCCAGGATGTAAGTTATCTCCTAAACTACCTTTTTGACTTGTTCGTCAAATAATCGGGCTAATTTATCAATACTTTGTAGGTGGCTGCCATGGGGTATCATACACAGGTAGATTGCCAAACTCACCTTCGCACTGTCATGGCGTACAATCAGAAAAAACATTTTGGTTAGCCTTCATTAAACACTCCCTGCTGAAACATACGTTCAATCGATAGGCTAACCTCTGTTCTTCTCACAAATAGAAATGATTCAGCGATATATGGCCGCGGACACCGAAGAGTTTCTCCCTTCATTGTTAGGAAATCCAAATCACAAGGGTATCGCTTGCTACCCACCCCCTTTACCCATTGCCTGGAACATTAGCGGATGATCTAATAAGTTCTTTGTAGAGTGGACCGATTTCAACTTAATGGGGACGGTGTCTCCCCTCCTGATGCTCTTTTCTACATCTCTAGTCTTAGGGCCAAAATTCTCCAGAGACCAAGAGCTCATGGCACAGATAACCTCCCACGTTATGGGTATTGAAGAAATATTGGGGGAATTTGATAAATACCCAAGGATTCTACGTCCTTTAGTATGGGGATTCTCCCCAGTATGCCGAGCATTCCGCTCCAATGCTTCGATACTAAAAGAAAAACTAATCCCTGAGATTCGGAGACGTGTAGCGTTACTCCGATCAGGCGAATCAGCAGCCGATGATCTAACCATGTTGACCGTGTTTTTGAAGCAGGCATTGAAAGACGGTCTTCTTACTAAAGAACAGTCTCCAAGTGATGATATGCAGTTCGAAAGTTTGTCCATGAAGTCTTTGTTCCACATATACGAAGTCTGGGGACCCATTGTGCCGCTCCTAATTGCTCTCCTATCCAGGATTATGGACAGTCCAGAATATGTGGAAGATCTAAGGGAAGAGGTTTCCGGGGCACTAGCTTCTGCCGATGGATGGGACTCTGACTTCCTAGCAAACACACCAAAGCTAGAAAGCTTCACTCGAGAGACACTGCGCTTGAACGTTGCAATTTCTGGTAGGTGCCTTCTCCGTCATCAGACCCTACACTCCGGCTCTGTGAGGCCGAGCTAACACCTGAGCTAAACAGTCAGTGTGTCTCGAGTGCTCCATGCGCCGCTTAAGCTCAAATCTGTGGACATAGATCTTCCAAAGGGATCATATATAGGGTTGCCGTGTAAATTCATGCATACCGATCCTGAGCTCTACCCTGATCCTCTTACCTTTGACAGGTACCGGTTCTATGATAAAGCATCGAACACAAGCACCGCACGGGCAACCACTGCCTCCGAGACCTTCCTCCCATTTGGATATGGAGCTTCACTCTGCCCTGGAAGGTTCATCGGCGTGAAGGCAGCTCAAGTTTTATTTTCAAGGTTCCTGCTGGAATATGACGTGCAGTTCCTTTCCAAGGGTCAAAAGTTCGCGCCCATGGTCCTTCTTGAGAATACATGGACCTATCCTGAGATGGATGTCATGGCGAAAGTCCGGAGACGCCAGCCCAAGTCTCCTTAAATATATATTCAGCTCGACTCTCTGTGCATATGGACAACCAGAATAGTTGTATTACTGAAACACTGTCCCGAATTACCCCCTTGGGTAGTCGATTCGTTAACTATTTAGTGGCCTAAGTTAAAATTTGTTAGTTAACATTGTTTCCAGATGGAAGTTGGAAAAGGTCACTCCATGCCTGAAGCTGTACCTATATATATGCCCATTATTTCTAGTTTTCTGTGAAATAATCCACAAATTTCTTCATGCCCCATTCTAGAAGTACGTACGCATCGGATGGTGCTATCAACCCCCCTTGGTAATACAATTGCCTGGGTCGGAACCCCTTGGTGTGACGATGGGCGATCCATCTCACCAGCACGCTCTCCGCATGAAGATGAGGAGAAAAGACGGAATCTCCATGTGGGGGTCTGAGGCAAAGAAAGCATCTTCTGGCCGGCTGGCTTGCTGTTTTGCTGCTGCGGACCCTCGAGATGGGACTTGGACGGGGCCAAAGCCGGTGCGGAGGGAGTCCCCTGGGCAGCTCGGCGATAATCTCGGCTTCTTTCCATGGGGGCTCGATTTACCCGGGTTGCTGCATAACTAACTACAGCTATTTAAGCAGACGTTCGAGGAGCTGCTGAGGCTGGACATGCTGCTGGTTACAATTGACAATTTGATTCAAGTCCGAAGAAATTACTGAATAAATACCTAGCTATGCCTGTGACTGCGAGCGATGTCCACTCTGCGTCTGCGCCCTTTACTGCGTTTCCTTGCCGCCGGAGCGTGGTCCATAGCACAAAGGGAATAGTCTCATGCACCCAACCTCTGGCTGCTGAAGCTGGCCAGAGGATCCTGAAGCTAGGTGGTAATGCTGCTGTACGTACACTTACCGAGTTATCCGTGTTGTGTGTTTCTCTACGTACTGATGGACCTCTCTGATCTCAGGATGCGGCGGTTGCTGTGGGTGAGTGGGATGACAACAGCTATGGCCCCTCCATAAGACCTGCAACAGGCCACATTACATGCCGCAGAACTAACGGAACAGTGTTACAGCGGCCGCGCTGAATGTGACGGAACCACACTCTACCGGTATCGGTGGTGACATGTTCTGTCTGTTCTACAACGCCAAAACAAAGAAAGTGCATGCGTTGAATGGCTCTGGACGCATGCCGGCAGGTGCTTCCCTGGACCGGGTGCGTCAGGCGTTGGGAGACGACAGTTTGACACAACTACCAAAGCTGAGCGTTCATGCTGTTACGGTGCCAGGAACCGCTGCCGGGTGGGTGGACACAGTGGAAAAGTTCGGGAGTGGGAGGGTCACCCTTGAGCAGATCCTCACGCCGGCTATTGAACTGGGAGAAGAAGGGTTCCCTGTGGCTGAGCTGGCATCTTTGTTCGTAAGTGTGTTCCCAGTATATGATATGATGGAGTGTATATACTAATAGCGAATGCAGTGGAAAGGGTCTGAAGGCAAAATCCGCAAAGGAAGCCCCAACTTCAAAGAGCTTCTCAGAGAAGATAGCCAGGCGGAAGG